GGTGAATGCAAAATTAAATTAACCTTAAAAGAATACAAACCACAGCATGGTATTTTCGGTGCAGTACTAGAAATGAACCAGGTACCTAAAGTCACTGCAATTCAAATTGGGCCAAGAACCATGGCCATAAACCCCCAGTGCCTCAGAAAGAAAGTGATATGTTTGCTGTTGCAACTTTGCTGTGGTTTGTGCTTCCCTGTGCTTATGTGAAGAGAGCATGTGCATTGGATCCTAACATCCTTAGTAATTCAAGGAGCTAGCTAAGATTTGATCTACATAAGATCATCTCGTGTTGTTTAAGTCCGGGATGCTCTTCACAATAGTGTTTTCTCACTTCCTATAAGGCCAGAGATAGAGGCACCTTCATAATGATGTTTAAATTTTTGGACTGTGTCTAAAAAAACAGATACGAGATGGCAAAGTACAACATGCATTATGCAAAAGTGGGGGGAACAGAAGGTGAATTACCCATATACGTCCGTGTTTCCTTTCTTCTATTGCATTGCAGTGCGAGAGGGGAAACAGAAGCGGGGGTAGTTCATGCCTCTGCTTTCCCTGTGTCTCTGTAATATTTGAACAAATGGGGAATCAGGTTGCAAAGAATGCAGAATTTAAGATTCCAAGTCACACAAAACTCTGGCCCACTTGAAGATACAGGTGAGATGTCTTTTGAGGATAAGGGAACAATAGCTAGCATTGCTGAGCTTTGTATAAAAGCTCCTTCATCTGCAGAGAGTGTGGCTTCATTTTTCATCCTGAATGCCTTTGTGTAAGCCAGTCTTTTGAGCCACTGTGAGAGGCTAACATAAAACCTCATTAAGTCATCAGTGCTACTCCGTCTGAATACTGAGTCCAGTTATTATTATTTTGCAAAATAAGGAGAAGCAAGCATATGCATCTTCCATTTATGCTCGGTCTCTGCTCCTGCCAACCTAGCAGTTCAAAAGCACGTCAAAGTGGAAGTAGATAAATAGGTACCACTCCAGTGGAAAGGTAAACAGCGTTTCCGTGCGCTGCTCTGGTTCTCCAGAAGCAGCTTAGTCATGCTGGCCACATGACCCGGAAGCTGTACGCCGGCTCCCTCGGCCAATAAAGCGAGATGAGCGCCGCAACCCCAGAGTCGGTCACGACTGGACCTAACGGTCAGGGGTCCCTTTACCCTGTGTGCTTATAGAGAAGAGTGAACAATATTTCATAAATAAATGTAAGAGGTCAGCAGAATTTTTAGTATGTAAACTTCTGACACTTTGATTTTTGACTTTAAAGCATTGTGGAGAAGACAGAATTCAAATAAATATTTCCGTTGCATCTCTCTGCCCAAAGGCCATTTACAAAGAGACTCAAAACTCCTGGCTCTGCATGTAGGTTTTCCACAGTTAATTTCTGTTAGCCCTCATTTCAGCACATTAACAGATGTTTCCTGTTGCTTGCTCCACTAGAGAGGCAGCCTAACCAGACTTGCAACGATGACAGTGATGCTGCAACTTTCAAGCAAAGCCTCCCAGATCTCACCCCTGATGAGCCTTCAGAGCACCTTGGCTTCCCAACCTTTGGAAAAGAGGATGATAAAAGTGACAAAGATCTCGCCCAAAGCCAGACTGAGTTACCTCCTGAAAATCCAGAACCCCAATCTCAGCCGGGTGAAGAGGCAGTGACCCCACTGGCTGAGGAGGGGGCAGCAGCCGAAGCCGGCGGTGATGAGTCTCCTGGGAAGTCTCCGTCCAAGAAGAAGAAGAAGTTCCGCACACCTTCCTTCCTGAAGAAAAACAAAAAGAAGACTGACTCCTAAATACCTTCAAATATACTGTCATGGTTTAGAGTCTAAGTTTATTAACCACTAGAATGTATCAGTTCTTACTGAGTGTTTTCTTTTGTCTTTAGTAACAAGCAGAACAAGCAACACCCTCAAGCTATAGCTTGATTGCTTAAGATTATAATGGAAAATTAATGAGCAGAAGGTGCTAATCTTGCATATTCAACAGCAGCTAACCAGGGTTCACCCCTAGTACGCAATCAAAGCTAAATGACTTCCATGGAACCCCATGTGTCACGTTGAGAGCCCATGCTGATTTATATATGCAGTCAATGGATTTTCGCAAGGTCTTGCTCCACGGGGTGTTGCTGTCTGCTCACTCTAACATTTGTTCTTGTCCCAGAGCCTACTGTTGTTACCAAGTGGCTTCTTAAATACTGACAACTTGGATATGATTGCAGTTATATTTTGAGAGGTTGTCTTATGGAACCGAGCACCTGCTTTCGCACTGTGTAATTAGAAATAACGTTACACTGAGGCTTTGAAGAAAGCTGTCTTTTCCCGTCCCTTATTCTGTATTGTAGCATAGCTGAAATTTAAATCTATTTGTTATGTGTAAGAAGAATGAAGTGATTTGTGGTGTTTCCTGCTGATCCCTCTGCCTGCGTTCTAATAAACTGACAGAACAACCAGTTATTTTACTAATTTCTTTTCTACCAACAGTTTGTATCCGACCTCACCTGATAATTCGGAAGTTAATTTCAAGCCTTTGAAAATAAAATTTCCTAGTAGCAGGCACATACCTACTGCCTTTATTAACTCAGATCATGACCTCACTCAATTGCTCCAGTACGTTGCGCCACTTACGGATGCAACAGCAGCTGTACTACAGCGTGAGCTGTCATTTATGGTAGCTGCCCCAGTCATTTCCAAGGCCATGTGGCTCATTTCTGAGAACCCTTGGAAGGTTTGTCATAATCTGGCACTGACTTGGCACAGCTTGCTAATCTCTTCTGCTTCTCTGGATTCACTGATTTAAGCTACAGTGCAGAGACTAAACTTTTGAGTTGTGCAAGGCAATGTTTCTGAAACAATTGGTATTTCTTCTAAACCCGTAAAGTTGACTGAGTTCTGGTTATAACAAAAGAAAAGACTCACTCTTTAAGGTCAGTTGGGAACGAAGATGCTGATTTTTATTGATTAACTTCGGTAATGAATAATGCACCACGGGGGGGGGGGCAGATTGTGTAGGTTTTTAATTGAAGTTTGGTGAAATAGCTAGTATTGAATGCCTTACAATTCGTGCTTTAAAAAAGCACAGATTAGAAAGAATTCAGTGACTGGTGCAGCTTTATTCTAAACATTATGCCTATGTTAGGTTCCAAATAGATACCTTGGAAACCAGTTTGAAACAAATCACTTTAAAATGGTAAAATAAATAAATAACACCCGTGCAGAAGGGTTACAGGGAGATTGGGGGAGGGTTGGTGGTACTAAAACCATCACTAATGGAAAAGCAGAAGTGCTGATAACAGAGAGAGAGAAAGGAATTTTTCATATGGACTGCATGGCACTAATGGCTTTGAGCTTGTTTCCTAACTGTGTGTCCTGTGAACACTAAAAGCTTAACCGCGTCTCATTGCCAGGATTGAAATTGCATTACAAAAGCCATTGCTTTAGTGTTTCTGTTATCAAACGTAGGGACTCTAATCTTTGACCACATATGCAATGATTTTTAAGTTCCAGTTTTGTAGTTCTCAATTCTTTCTATTACATAATGAAATCTAGTTGTGTATTGTATGAGAACACACTTCAGTGGGACAGGGAGGGAAAGGGAAGAGTCCTGTATTTTTTCTTCTTCTTTTGTTGTTTAATTCAATTCTACACAAATAAAATTCTTTAAAGGAGTTGTGTGTCCTTGTGCCTTGTTTCTGAGATCCAGGTATTCTTGAGCTCATGTTGCTGCAAGACTCATAGCACATTTATGGAAAAGTAAACATAGTCAATTCAGAGCGATCCAAAGACAGAAAAAGAGTATTGCTACCCGTTATGGTGGAGAGGATGGGGAGGCTAGAATATGCTGGGGCTACAGCACTGCTGTGTCTGCTATACTTTCCAAACCCAGAAGAGGGGCACACACGCCACTTTCAGAAACAATAGAGTAAAGATTGCAGCCAGGCCTTCAGTGGCTGGTGGCTGCCTGGAGTAGAGACAACACCCCAAATCTGCTGGACTATACAGCCAATTTGTGCAGCGGTGTATCCACTATTATTTAATGTCCATGATAACTATCACTTCCCCCAACACAGATGAAACATGGCAGATGGTGCAGGCCTGTGGCGCATTCTCAACACAAGTGAGAAACATGCTGATTCAGGTCTTCAGATGAATCCGCGTTTTCCCCCATGGGCAGTGGGACAAAAATCACTAACTCTAGCATATGGCTACAGGAATCCAGCAAGCCAATATATTGACCCCTGACAAAAAGATTCAAGGCCAAATAATATCACACATCACCAGTGAAACCTGTGATGAGCCCAATAACTGCTCCCTAACCCACAGATAGGCTTTCAACAGTGTAAATTTGCAACTTTAAAAAACTCATACAGCCTTCGTCAACATTTATCTGTGGTTCTAGATTCAGGTAGGTAGCAGTGTTGGTCTGGCGCAGTCAATATATATATATATAAAATTGTCCAGTAGAAACTTTGAGACCGACTAAATTTGTTCTTGGTATAAGCTTTTGTGTACATGTATCTGAAGAAGTGTGCATGCACACGAAAGCTTATACCAAGAACTTAGTTGGTCTCTAAGGTGCTACTGGACAATTTTTTCACATATTTCATTTATCTGTGGATTAGTTCTAGCTGTCAGGTGCTTATCTTCCACTATTCATCTGCAAATAGTCTTTGTTTTCTCTAGATCCTGAGCACAAGCTTACCTTGGCCAAGGCTAATCTCATTGACCCAACTTGCTTACAATTTATTCTCGACGTGAATGATTTATACAAAACTAGGTAGGCAGCCTGCAGCCAAACTGAAGGACTATGATGTATGTTGATATTAAAGTTTGTGCCCTGAATCTTACATATAATATAAATACTATCTGGAAGGAAGGAATTTTTATTATTTTGTTTTTTAAGCTCAATTCATAAATCACTCTCAGAAACATAGCAAAGTGATATAACCATAAAAACATAGATAAAACCATTTCATATATACAAACAAAATCCAATACAGATACAGACTGGAATAAAAAATTCCATTTTAAAATGTTTATTGAAAAAGCAACATCTTCAAAACGCAATATAGATATCTGCTATGCAGTGGGAGGACACAGAACAGACCTGGTTGAGAATGGGCTCTGCAGGTCTTAATTAGGTGACCTTTGTTACATGAGACTCCAATTAAGAGGCTGCAATGACAATTAACCCCTCATACACCAGAGCAGTAAATATAAAATATATTTTTATAAAATATAAAAACAGACCCTCTAGCCTATTTTACAGAGACAAATAACCATTTTGTCACAGAGCGAAAATAGAGTTCTAATTTAAAGAACCAGCTCCTCTTATGCTTTTGGCAGAGGTCATAGTAGCCAACTATAGATTAAGGAAGGGAGATAAATTGGGGGAGGAGAAGCATCCTTTCCTGCTTTCCAAAGAATCTCTTGTTTTTCTTGCTGCCTCTCATTTCCCCAACTTTCCTATCTCTTCTTTCCCTCTCTGCTTTTTTCTCTTCCTGCATTCCTGGCTTTATTAATTTTCCTGTTGCTCTCTTTTTCAATTACATTCAGAGGCAGCTGGTATGCTGGCTGCTTGTGTAGCAGAAGAAAAAGAGGGGGGGAAACAACAGGATAAAATTTGCCTCCTCTAACAGATACAACCCTGGGATGCTATACAGAATTCAGGAGAATAAACCAGCTGGGATCCAACTTGCTGGATAAGGCACAAAGACAGGCGTGCTTTTAATAACTCAATGAAAAATTGGTCTCTCAAAAGTTTTATACAGGGAAAACAAAAAAATTGCACAACACAAAAAACAGTATGCTTAATGTTTTAGACTGCTATAGAGAAAAAGTTATTTAGAGCCAAGATTCAGTATTACAGCAGCTGCAAGGAGTTGCCAAGGAAAAGTGGTATTACATTAAGTGGGAATGGGATTTCAGTTCAAGGGTAAGCCTCACTCAACTAAATGGGACTTCAGAAAGTAGCTAGCAGCAACAGCCTAGGGCAGGCATAGGCAAACTCCGGCCCTCCAGATATTTGGGACTACAATTCCCATCATCCCTAGCTAACAGGACCAGTGGTCAGGGATGATAGGAATTGTAGTCCCAAAACATCTGGAGGGCCGAGTTTGCCTAGGCCTGCCCTAGGGCCACCTATAGGGTTGTAGGGGCTACCATGTCTCCAATTTCATGCACTTAGTGAAAAAGAAAAAAGAATGGCTGTTTTGGTTTCTCAATGCAAATGAGGTCCAGATTAGGTCTATACTAGAGGAAGATCCAGATCAATGAATCAGGGCCCAAATTAGATTGGGGGGGGCATGTCTTGCACAGCTGTAATTTAAGTGCTACAACTGTTTCCACAGACACTACAGTAGGAGTTTTTGGCACAGGGGTCAAACACTTCATTTACATACAGAAACCTCAGGTTTAATCTTAAAACAACTGAATTCAAAAAAGGTTCAGGAAGCAGACCCCGTCTGCCCTTGACCCTGGAGAGCAATTACTAGCTAGTGCTGACTTCTGAGTAATACTGAACTATTATACTTGCTGTAAGGCAGCTTTGTATGTTCCAGATTACTCTTATGTTTTCAGGTTCCTTCCCCCCTGAAAACCAACCTATTAAGACATCGTAACTGTTGGCTGTAGCAGGCTGATGCTTTGGCACAATATGAAGCAACATCAAGGCACAATATGAAGCCACCTTAAATGTCAACCTGTTCAGGTTTCCCTGTATCAAATTGCAACTGTAGACCAAAATCTGGTTGACTTTCTACTCTAGTTTTAACTCTTAAAACAATCAAATTCCAATAAAATATGAAAACTTTTTTTTAAAAAAAACAAACAAACCCCAAACAGGAGTGTTAATCCAGAATAGTCAGAACTATTGGTGGATAACTGTTGCTAGGCTTAAATTCACAGAACTGGCAGCACAGTTCCCTCACAGAACAGGAAACGGGACTTCTCTAACCACTTTCTTGGGAGGAAGCCCCACTGAATTACCAGAATTAAATAGATTACTTCTGAGTGGATAATGATTTAGACTGCACTGTGTCTCATGCTTTCACACCATACTGAATGATCGACCAAATCTAAGCGTGCCTCACGTTCACATATCCCATGTGGTAAGGCATAAATTCCTCCCTTCAAGTGATTTGTTGCAAGCATGAAAAGTCTTCCTATTATCCCTGCAGCGTAATCTGAAATATTTATGTAAAGAATATAAAATACACTTCTTGTAAACAGAGCCAGAATCATAATTATGCAAAAACAAAAAACAAAAACAACTGGTTACCTTAGAAACATACTACCTTAACTACACAATCTTTTGCACATGATGGTACAAACATGATGCGTTTCAGCTTACTGCTAACCGTAGGATATACCTGTACACACTTTTCCAGCTTGCAACTTAAGCCTTTGGTTTAAAGAAACGACTATTGCCCTTGGCAACCTGTTAAGACTCAGGTTTTGGCATCAATATACAAAACATACAGATCTACTTGAGCTCAATAGCTAAGTGTCAAGGAAATGTTGTACATGTAGGTCCTGCTGTCCAAACACAGTGCGTTACCAGGAAATCATTTGCAAGCATTTGCATAGCAAGCTGATGATTTCCATTATTTCCTACGGGAACATTTATAATCTGTGATTTGTCCAGTCTCTGCCCCCCACGGGCTTTTTCCAGAAATGGCTGCAGCCAACCAGCAAAACACAAGTAAGGAAGTGGGCAAACTCTGGCTGTTTGGATATCTGAATCAGCTGTTTTTGTACCATGGTTTGGGCATAATTCTTTGTGTTTGGATAACTGAATTTGCAGATAACGAGTGTTGCCATAGCGGGACCTGTGTGTGCTTCAAATCTGGCAGACAAATCAACAGTAAATACATTATTTAGAAAATGTATTTCAAGGATAGTATATGTTTGCATGTGTGTGTGTGTGTGCACGTACAGACAAAACACATTCAACAAAATTTATGCAGCATGTCTAGTGCAAGTCTGTAGATATTGTTTCATTTCCTTCTTTAAACACTTTCTGCCAAAGCAAACAATGCGTTCCCACCACTGTGCACTCTCTTGCAGAACAGGAAATGTATCTGACCATTTTTTATGGCACAGGTATTGTTTGCTGAAAGGCAGTAGCTGAGGTTTCTCTCCAGGGCTCTTTGCCACAGTGCAGCAGAAATAACATGTGCTCAAAATCTGTGCACTTCATCATATGCAAAGGCCGGAGGTGCCACAAAATGTTTCTTAGCTCAGCTGCCTGAGGGCCGGATTTCCAATGTTTCTTGGAAAATGGTAGCCAGAGTTGCTTGTTATTCTTTCCTTTGCTTTTGAATGTATCCAAGGAGAACGAAGGGAAGGAGGAACGAAAAGGCACAGACCGTGAAACAAACTTCAGCTCCTGCCAGCCAGTATACTGGAAAGAAAGGAAGGAGAAAAACAGCATTTAAGAATATTGTTAATCCGGAAAAAGCAAGAACTTTCCTAAACTGGCCTCCACAAAACAGTTTGTACCAAACTGAGTGAGAAGAGCTCTGTCATTCCCAGAAGATGCAGCTTCTCCTCACCAGAATTAAATATTTTTAATTTTTGAACTGAAAGCAGAATCCTCAGCTCCTATCCAACGATATCAACAGACTGGCAGCAGCCAGGGCCCAATAAAAAAATAACCACATTTGCCCAAGACGGCAAGTTTCAGAAAATGCTCCAGGAACTCTGCCATGAGGAAAGCCTCATGGGTGGGAAAGGGGCGAGGATGTGACTCAGCTCCACAAACGTTTTGCTGCAGGTCTGTTTGCTTTTCTGAGGCTCTGTGCCTGGCGCAAGCTATAGGAAGGCTCCTGTGAGGTAACCGGGGTTCAAAACTCTGCTTCTCTCTAGTCAGCAAGTGCTATAGGAAGGTCACTTCCCGGGGGAGCCTCAAATGCTGCCTTTTCCAATACAGAGCTAGTTTGAGTCAAAGCACACACAGTGAGATAAAAACCTTACCCATAGAATTTCCCTGGAAGAATACCCAAATTGATTTTTAAAGCTCCTAAGTTCAAAAAGCATTTGGAGACTGGACTTTGACCAGCAGCATTTCCCCTTTAAAAAAGCTCTTACCCAAAAGATGCTTCTTAAACCTAATGGTGGGAAGGGAAGATTTGAGTGAGGGGCTGAAGAGTCCCCACAACAAACAAAAACTAGAACAAGAGCAAAGCGACCTGCAACAACCTGAAGGCAGGCATTTTTCTAGTTTTAGACGTTAGAAGGGAGAGGGAGAGATGCAAGTTTCTAATTTTAGCTGGCTGCCAAGACTATCTTGTGATGCAAATTACAAACAAAATGTAGGGTGCATGGATGCACTTCTCTGTATCACAGCCATGCTTTGTAATATCGAGGAAAATGCATGTTGCTATTGCAACCTTTCCTGACAGAAGCATGAAAACAGGAATCCTACCGTAGCTGAAACACTTTCCATGATACGCAATGCGAGGTTCAATTTTCTCCCTGGTGAAATCCATATATTGTTTCTATTGCTGACAAGGGCGCATGTGAGCACACGCATACATGCACAATTACCTGTTGCTGACACAATTGGTCCAAAAGCTCTTGCGAGGGCCCCCAGGCTCCTTAAGATTCCCATTAGGCTTCCCTTTTGGCTGGCTAACCCTATGAAAGAAAGAACCATCATCATTTACTACTTGTCCATTTTTTACTTTTTGGCTTTTTGGCTTTCCCTACCAAAACCTGGGACGCAGGTGGCGCTGTGGGTTAAAGCCTCAGCACCTAGGACTTGCCGATCGAAAGGTCGGTGGTTCGAATCCCTGCGGCGGGGTGCGCTCCTGTCGTTCGGTCCCAGCGCCTGCCAACCTAGCAGTTCGAAAGCACCTTCGGGTGCAAGTAGATAAATAGGGACTGCTTTCTAGCGGGAAGGTAAACGGTGTTTCCGTGTGCTGCCCTGGCTTGCCAGAGCAGCGATGTCACGCTGGCCACGTGACCCGGAAGTGTCTGCGGACAGCGCTGGCTCCCGGCCTATAGAGTGAGATGAGCGCACAACCCTAGAGTCTGGCAAGACTGGCCCGTACGGGCAGGGGTACCTTTACCTTTACCTTTACCAAGGCAAAACACTTAGAGCCCAGCACTATAAAACATCTGAGAAATAAAATGATAAAGGATTGGGTCTTTAAGAGGGAACCGTGCATCCTTATCCCGAGGCCCTGGTTAGGAAGACCAGATCCACTGCCTCCTGAGAGTTATTGAGGCTGGAACTATGCATTGGTCAGAAGACCCAGATTTGAGAGCTCAAACAAAATGGCTGCAAAGCAGTGGAGTCAAGGAAGGAGTTATGTAGCAGGGAGGTAGCAGGAGTATCTGTGCGTTTGCCATGATGTCTCAGACTAAAAAGCTGCTGCAGTTCATCTACTTCTTACATTTAGACAGCTGTCCATTGACGACAATGCCCTGGATGGCTTACAAACAAAAGAAACACTTTTGTTGCATCAGAAACAACCCCAGCTACTGAGCAACACTTTCAACATAACCCAACTCCTTCAGTTATTCAAATAAATGAGAACAAGTCTGCACTGTCAAACCCAGTGAGCATTCTATCTCAATTTCATTCTTGTCCTTTTAATCTTGCATTTTTAGGTGCAACTGGAGCAATAGTGTTAGAAGTTCTTCTCAACTTTGCCTTTATGAGAAACTAGAACATGCAGGAGAGTTGTTCAGGCAAGTTTACCACCAGCATCTGAGGCCTAAATCCCACAATCTTGAGTGTACTTCGCTGCTAAAACTCAACATCAAAACTACATTTCCATCTGTGAGGCTCCCTGAGGTATATTTTATTCACCAGTTAACCGGCAGAGGAATGTTGAGCAAGTCCTTGGGTGAGAGCACAGAGTTTCTACTTAGCCATTCTTGGTCATTCCTACCATTACTTTGAACTGAATGTCATTATCTTCCCTTGTGCACATATAACACGTGAAAATAGGGCAATAGTTTCCACCTGCAAAAATGTATTATTTTATTTAAAGATCCTTTTGTGGGCTCTAGTGTCAGGTATCTGTAGTCGCTAGCACCATATAGGAATAGCAGTCTATAAAAACTTGGCATGCCCCAGTCAGTAATAAGCCGTTTGAAGTCCCACATTTCTTAACGGGAGAGTTAAACAGATAAAATTAATGGTATTTTGAGTGCCTTGCATTTGTCTGAACCACACCTACTGTCCTTACTGTGTGCTGTACAAAACAGAGCAGGAGCCAACGCCAAGTGGAATCAATTTCCAATTCTGTGTTTAATCTATCTCCAACTCTGAGGCAAAAGAATCTGACAGCAGCCTGGCTTTAAAGATTCAACACACAGTTAAAAGAGCAAGCAAAAAACTCCTTAGAGAAGGGCTCTGCCCATTACAAGAGTAAACAGCCACGTACCATATCCAGACACCACCGTAGACAAACAAGGAACAACCGTAGCAGCAGCTGGAAGCAATTTAATAACAGGTTAGAAAATGATTAAACAAGTGAGAATGCAAATGTGTTAACAATGGATGGCAGGAGGAGAAGGTTTAATTCTGCATGGGCTACGATCCAGTTCCCAGTGGGAAACAAGATTCCATAGCCAAAACAGCAGGCTCGAATCCCTGCTCATCACTTGAATGGGGATTAAACCCTACGCAAAAGTGCCATTTGAAGTAGTTCTCATACACACGCTGCACAAAGAGGCTTTTGCAAAGGCTTTAAAACAGCTCCTCCACTCCTGTTTGCTCATACAGGAGCACAGAGACTGTCTTAATTAAAGCAGTTTGCCAAACTGCTCTCTGAATCAGCCTCCCCCACCCCCTTTAAACACTGCCGGAGTGATGAATTCAGAATTTAAGTCCTAATGACAATTTAGGATGAGGTTTTTTTCTGAAAGTGCTGGTCAGGCAGATGCTAGTCATACCAAAAACTATCCCTTAGTTCAGGCATCCTCAAACTCGGCCCTCCAGATGTTTTGGGTCTATAACTTCCATCATCCCTAGCTAGCAGGACCAGTGGTCAGGGATGGTGGGAACTGTAGTCCCAAAACATCTAGAGGGCCGAGGTTGAGGAAGGCTGCCTTAGTTGATCATGCCGGTAGATCCTGAAGTGAACAAATGCCTTCAGGAGAAAACAGAAATGCCAATATGGACTTTCTGTCTGCAAGCCTCCCGGAGGGCAGTCTAATTCTTGCTCTTTTTCAGGACTGGCATCATGGAATCACAGAATTGTCCAATTGGAAGGGACCCTGAGGGTCATCCAGTCCAACCCCGTGATGCAGGAAATGGGAGGTGGCTGGTCCTTCAGGCTTCTGCCTTTAAATGAACATGGGGAGGAGTTTGTTGGGGCACTTCCAGTTGGAGAAAAAGCTGGAGAAAAAGCCAAAGATGAGGATCCAGAGGAAGGAGCCATCAAAAGGTGATGGAATCCCTTCTAGTCAGAGAACAGAAATTTCCAGTAAGGCCTTTCTTTTGGAAAATACCTTGCTGGTCTTTTGCAGAGCTTTGCAGTATTTGCAATTCAGGGATGAAGTTGCAAAGAAAAGACTGGTCCATCTGCTCATCAGTCAACTGGGAAGCTGAGCATCCTCTAGGTTCAAGAGTCCTTGCCTTAACTCATGGGTAAGCAAACTAAGGCCTGGGGGCCGGATCCAGCACAATCGCCTTCTAAATCCGGCCTGCAGACGCTCCAGGAATCAGCGTGTTTTTACCTGAGTAGAATGTGTCCTTTTATTTAAGATGCATCTGTGGGTTATTTGTGGGGCATAGGAATTCGTTCATTTCTAATTTTTTTCCAAAATATAGTCCGGTCCCCCACAAGGTCTGAGGGACAGTGGACCGGCCCCCTGCTGAAAAAGTTTGCTGACCCCTGCGCTTAACTGAACTCAAGCCCTGATTGGACAGCCTGGACTATGCAACTTTCCTCTGCCTGTAGTCCAGTGTTTAAACAGCAGTCAGGGACATCACATTTCTTTTTTGGAAAAGCATGCTAAGCCAGGATTATTGACAATCTAGATATCCTCTTCAGCCCCTAGGAGCTGGAAAGATCAACCATAAGCTGAGGCGACACAAGTTAATGACGTGTTTAAACATCACCATGGCAACTTCTATCATGTCATTAGCATTAAAATAAACTCGAAAGGACATCTCCTTCAAGATTGATAAGCAACAAAGGCAGTTTGGAAACCTAAATCCATTCTGCATTAATGAACTCAAGAAATCTATGGAGCCAATTTCGCTTTGCTTTAGCGCCTGAAAAGATTTGTTTGAGAAGCTCACCAAAGGAGTAAAACAACAGTCCAGTGCCCAGGAGGATCATGTTAGAACTCCAGCCAACAAAAAGGAAACCAAGAGCTGACACCATTATTGCCTGTCGAAAAGAAAAGGGGGCAAAGTGAGAAAGATCATGGTTTTACAGGTCACAAACTCTAGTGAAAACCCAAAGCTTGTTCTCTCCTGCCTTAAGGGGAGGGAAAACCAAAGAGCTATGTAGTAGGGGTGAGTCCATGACAATGTCAACCTATAGACCCATTTTTCATTTTCATGTATAGTTAACGTGCTCTATATCATTTCAAAGATAATTTCCTCAAGTTTAACAGTTTTTCAAAATGGCATTTTACATGTGAGTAAAATGACCAGAAGTGTGGCATGCAAGATGACTCAGAATTTCTCTAGGTTTTTTCCCTAAAGATCTCTGCAAGAAAATAGAGAATAGGATAATGAGCCTTTATTTTATTGGTTTTCTTTTCTCATTTGGCGAACTGACAAGAAATTTTATGCTAGGAACAGAATAGTTGGTTTGGAATGGTTTGTTTGATGGTGGAATTGGGCACCATCACCACCAGAAACTGCACTTTAAAGACCATTTTATATCCACTTCATAGCCCCAAAGCCAATCTCTCTCTCTCTCCCTCTCCCTCTCTCTCTCTCTGTCTCTCTCTCTCTCATTATTATGGTCTACTGAACACTGACCTTCTCCAACATGAAAAATGCTTTGTGTACTCTCTCACAAAAGGAAGGGGAGAAATCAACTGGATATATTACAAGTTCAATGACAGAAGACACATTTCCTGAAAGTTCTTCAAGTATGCATGAAGCAAAAGAAAGTACAAGAAAGACTACTTCAAATGGAAAGCAAGCCCCACCCTTTTTACAGTCTTCACTTCGTTTCCTGGCTCAATCTGGCGAGTGTACCCTCCTTGGATCACAGCCATTGTAATTCCAATGAAGAAAAACATCTTCCCTTGTTCTAGACTAAGAGAAAACAGGAAAAAATTATTTTCTTCTCCATGTCCAAACTCCCAAAATTAACATGGACTGGCAGCTGTTATATTTTAAGGAATATATACTGTGGATATTTGGGCATGTTCCCTAACTAACCAGTTTAGTAGTTCTGACACAGCCCTCTTAGGGGCAAAGTAGTTTAGCTTGATTTGCAATTATGTTTGTTAGTAGTAGTTAGTTCTACCCAGTCAGTAACTAGAAGAAACTTTGACATAAAGCATTCAATCTCCCCTCTACAGGAGGCTTCTAAAATTATTACAGGAACATACAGGGATGTTTGGGGTGGGGTGGCCCAGGGGGTCCAATTCCCAGGACTTTGCCAGCATACCACAGTTCTTTTGCCCTTCCTCTCCTTTTTAATCTTAAATATATTAGGATAGCCAGCTGCCCTGCAAGGTGTACTGCTGCTAAGTCACACACCTGGCCAACCAGACACCATCTTAATTTCTCAGGGGCATTTCTACATATAAATGAGCAAATGCAAATTTATGTCATGGGCTGAGTCCTTTAAGTACCTGACAACAGCTATGTGTTGCTGGGGGTGGTGGTGGTGGATGAAATCTGACTCCATTCACATTTTTATAATGAAAAACATTTAAGTGTCTGGGCAGCTCTTGATCATTACAAACCAAATTGCCTCTCAGGAATGACCTCTGGTCACCAAAACATCTCCACATTCAGAAATGAAAAGCTGCCCCCAGCTTCTGGTGTCCCTCCAAAGAGTGAAGGCTTCTTGGGCCTTACACTAACAACACAGGAATCAGTTACCAACAATGAATCCTAAAAAACTAAGTCTCATAAAAATCATACAGTAATGAGGACAGTCTGGGAATATTCTTGTCTTTGGGAGGGGGTTACGTTTGTATGTTCATACGTTTGTTGACATTGTTAAAATATGCAAAAATCAATTAAAAAATTGTAATCATATGATAGAAACGGAGGGAAACAAAAGATATGAGAGAACCAGTGCTAGCACTGAGCAGCTGCCAGGCCCCACGTTCCCTAGCAGGGCCCATGAGCACCAGCAGCTGCCTGGGCCCCCCTCCTGCCCCGCCAGGAGTGGACTTATCTGGGATCAGGGCCTGTGTTGGGAAAGTGCCTGCCATGTTATAATTTAATGCAATGCATGATGCAGTGTTGCACTAGCACATTGTAGGGAATTGGAGAGGCAGGGAGCCTCCCAGACTTAGCTGCCACATACACCTGGGTCCGCAGCAGAGCACCTTGACAGGAGATCTCTCAGACCTGGAGAATGCCGTCTCTACGTTCCAAAAGAGCGCAAGCATGAGTTCCAATCCCTGCTCAGTCATGAAACTTGGTGATTGGCCTTTGGAAGCAACTCTCTCAGCCTAACAGAGTTGCAGAGAGGCTATATCAGGCACAGGCAAACTCGGCCCTCCAGATGTGTTGAGACTTCAATTCCCATCACCCCAACCATTGGTCCTGTTAGCTAGGGATGATGGGAGTTGTAGTCCCAAAACATCTGGAGAGCCAAGTTTGCCTACACCTGAGCTAAATTGTCAGACATATCCTTGGTGGAAGAGAATGATTTCAATGTATCAAGGAAATAGGTAAGTAAAATGGTTATAGGAATGTTCACTCATATGAGAGAGGACTGCCAGCTGAGTTTCGACTTTGGGTGATTTATGCAAGCTAACGGGACAAATATTTCCAGAAAAAATGGCCTGCAACACTAGATGAGTTTCCTCAACCAGAGCCTACATTATGGGGGTGGATTGGAGTGGGAATGACATCTTATGCTCTAATTAAACACAGAGGTCATCTGAGTAAACACCATGACAGAACTTTGTTTATACTGATGTCTCGTGAGGCCCACTATTTTGACAAATAAAATAAATATCATGCGAAATACCTGCTGAATTGGAAGTGTTGATGGACAAGAAAGCTCAGAGTGTATTCCAGACCAGAAAACAGGAAAAGATACAGGAAATACACCAGGCCTAGGATCTTGAGATCTGTTACAAAACACCGCCATCAAATTCCATTCTTAAGAACAAGTACAAAAGTAAACATACCAACAGAATGGCCAGACGAATAGAATCAAAACCTTCAAAAAAGGAGCTCTAGACTTTGCAAATCTCAGATGGGGCTCTGGCTCCAGTTGTGGAAGACTAAAAGCTGTTACAACACACAAATCCAGGGCAGATGTAATACTGGCTCCTTGCATATACACACACTTTCCAACCCCTTCCTGACCTTTCCATGCCTTAGGTCATCTCTGCTGGCCCACTGGGACATGCACCCGCTCCGGCACCCAATGCGTTTTGACTAGACGTGATTTTGGTGTCATGCGCTATCCCTGGAACGTAACCCCTGAGTAAGAGGATATTAATTAGATGCTGTACCTTGATATGTCTTAGAAGTGGCATAAATATGTTTTAAACAAATACATTTTAAAAGATGGTGAGATAAGATGCTTTCTCTGCAAAAGTATTGAAAGCTTGAGTACTTGATTAATCCTACTATGCAGGTGTGGGAAGAAAAATACCAGTGTGATTACTAGTTCAGAGTAAATGTGCCTTTTACTGGAATTGTGTTGTGTGTGTGTGTGTGTGTGTGTTTTAAAAACCTATTTCTATTGCACTCCATGTTTCATTCCACATGTCAGAGAGTAGATATTCATGTTACTAACAGAAGCTGATGCACGCAGAGGCCTTACGCACTCAAAGCATATCTCTGCAATCATTCTTCCATGCTATGTGCTGCATAAACTCAAGCCAGTTTGCTCACTGGGAGGACTGCCAAATCTCAAGCAAAAGTGCAGATATGCAAATATATTCAGGAAAGGGCTAAGCCTCATTGTGAAGAAAGACAACACAACGTTTTGCAACATCAGGGTTGGCGCAAAGGAGAAAAAGGTTGTGGATTTTGACATGCACAGGCAACTTCATAATAAAAGGAAGAACAAAAAGCTCAAGGACTTGCTCTCTTTCGAAGAGGTTTCCATATTTTGGCTGACAGCAGAGAACTGGAACAGGGCCCGAGGACTAATCAGGCCAGCTGCAGACTGGAATCCCGACATAATGGAGGACACCTAACAAAACAGGGAGAAGGAAAGAAAGAATTGAGTCTGAAGGCGATGACTGAGCCGCTTTGTGTGCCACACAAAACCAGGACTTTAGTGCTACCTGCATGAGCAAGACTAGGGGTAGGCAACCTAAGGCCCAGGGGCCGGATGTGGCCCAATCGCCTTCTCAATTCGGCCTGTGGACAGTCTGGAAATCAGCATGTTTTTACATGAGGAGAATGTGTGCTTTTATTTAAAATGCATCTCTGGGTTATTTGTGGAGCATAGGAATTTGTTCATATTTTTTTCTTCAAAATATAGTCCGGCCCATCACATGGTCTGAGGGACGGTGGACGGGCCCACGGCTGAAAAAGGTTGCTGACCCCTGAGCAAGACTGACACTTCCCCCCCATGTTGCTGCAAAAGCAGACTGTGGGAGTCTGCTCTAGCTGGGAATCTTAGGAGCCAAATTTTGAAAGTCCTGGGTTGTAACAGGTATAAATAAAAGGAAATTTATCTAAGACATAAAGAGTACTAGGAAAGAGAGAAGGTTGCCTCATACTAATTGAGAGTTATATAGGGACTAATTTAGATAACCAGTTTCATTTCATTTATTCCTTGGTATTCTATTATGCTATATAATTCTTGCTATCATTTATTGTTTTGAGTGTACTGGTTAATGAAACAATAAAAAGATTTTTTTAGAAGCTTGGGTCTTAAAACAATTTTTACTTTTAAATTTTATTTTATGTCCTTCAATAGTTTTCCATTTTGGGACAACCCCACCAATGGTGCAGAAAGCCTCTTTATTTATTTTTTTCAAAAATCTCTCTCCCGTTTTGTCCTGGTTTATATATCTAGTTTGTGATGGTATAACATTTGATATTTGTTTTAACACATTTTTCTTTTAAAGTTGCTTAACCAAATCAGAATTTTATCTGTTACCCACATTATTCTAAATTCAGTTGGTGATCTCAAACAACCATTTCCCAATTCTGCTTGTACAATGCACTCTAAGTATTTGTTTTAAAATGACACTATAGCTACATCCAGTTATTTTCATCATATGTAAAGACATAGCAAGGGAGAGAGACTCTTCCAGCTTCCGCATGCTACCCAGGAGATCTGAAACAAACAACTATGCATGCAGAGTTGTCTGGGCCTCCGGTGCAATTCTGAGTCCACTGAACCCAATGGGACTTATGTCAAAGTATCCATGCACAAAATTGTGCTATAAAGCAGGTTTAAGGAATCTTTAGGGTACAATGTTATACCCTCTTACCTGGGAATAAGCCCCACTGGATTTGAGGGACTTGTTCCTGAGTGGACTGTGTAAATGTGCTGTTAATATCCCAGATTCATGGGTTGTGGTGGCTGAGAGATGTTTGTTAACCATTTCTCTCAACGTGTGCCTTTTCTGTCCAGAATTAAAGTAACATGACACTTGATAATTTCTTAGCACTAAAAAGCCAAGTAGCTCAAGGCAGCTCTTGGAAGGATCAAGATTAATGAAAAAACTATCTTAAGCATTTGCAAAATTAATGGAGAACCATTAAAATCGTATTTGCTACTTTGCCTTTAGTGACTTGGACCACTTAACCCAGTCCACCTTTTCCATCCATATCCCGTGCTCCAACTAGGGCAATATAGACAGCATTATGTGGTGGTTTGGCTGCTAGACTAGAACTTGGAGACCAGAGTTTGGATCCCTTCTCTGCCATGAGGCTCATGGGGTGACCATGGGCTCTCTCTCTTTGCCTAACCTATCTCAAGTTTTGTTGTGGTGATTAAATGGGAAGGGGAGGGGGGAACTGTACGCTTTGGAGGGGTGATGGGACTTGAATGCAGTAAATAAATTCTGCCCTTGAGGACTATGTGTTCTTCTGCAATTCTTGTGCAATTCCACTTAATGGAACATAAGGAAGATAACTTGCCACTGAACTACTTCCCTCACTTGCCAATAACAAGCATACATGGAGCTCCAGACCTGTTTTGAAAATATAAAGCAGAGTGAGACAATTTCTTTGGGCCAGATTCTGCTTAAAAATGGAGGCACTGGTTTCCTGATGTTCTGTTAAGACCAAGATGGCCACTAATGGGTCTCTAGAACATGTTACCCGTTTTTCTTTGGGGAGTGTCTCTGGCAACAACATGAAGACGAAAGCCAAGTCAATCACTGCAAACATGACAGCAAACATAGCAGACCGAACATAGAAGATTTCTCCCTTCTCTTTTTCCATGGAGAGGTATGCTCCCAGCATAGGCCCAAAGGTAAAGCCCAGGGAGAAAGCAACGCCAATCATTGCCTAGGGAAACAAGGGTAATACTTATTTAGTAACATTTCTCTCCTCCTTCAACTCTAATAGAGCTTCCAGAGCAGCAAATATGGACATGTACTATTTGAAACATAGATACCCATAATTCAATCATTTTTCATTCATTTTTCTAGATAAGAAGAAGAAGAAGAGTTTGGATTTGATATCCCGCCTTTCACTCCCCTTCAGGAGTCTCAAAGCGGCTACCAATACCAATTAAACTTTTTATTGCACTAGCCATAGGCCATGGCATCATTCAGAAGCAGAACAAACAACAACAATAATAAGCATAAAAATCATCGGGCACATACAATAAAACCACGGTTACGGCTACTAAAAATTTTTGTTGCATTAAATAGAACAGAATAGCAGAAGATTCTCAGGTAAAATGTGCCAAATTAAATATCCGAAACCCCTTTGCAGTTGACTGCTACTTTGTCTAGTTCCTTCCTCCTGATCTTAGCTGCCAGCGCATAGAGTGCAACTTTATAAGTAACAAAGTCGTCGGTGTTGCTCAGCAGCCATTTCACCCTTTCCACCCTATTCAGATGTGTTCCATTTGTAAACAGGGGTTTTATAAATCGGTCTCTTGGGTCTATATATAACAGGCACTGCAATAAATAATGGCACAGGTCCTCGACGCAGGGTTGTCCACACAGTCTCTCTTCGTAATGTACTTTGCCGTACTGTCCATCAAACACCGCCGAGGGCATCGACTGGAATCGTAGTTCTGTAAAAGCGATTCTTAGTACGGCAAGTGGGAGCTTTGTCACGTATCTGGCTCAGGCATGCTCCGTTTTGATAAGAAGGAACCATGGTGAGCTCCTGGTAGAAGCAACCATGGCTAGATCCCTTTCTGCATCGGACCTAAAGAGACAGTCTCTTAAGTGCCTCTTATCCGTCTTCAGGGTCACCTGAAGATCTTGTAACTGATATTGGGACAAGAGGCGTTGGACACCAGCCTTCCAGCATTTGGTCTGTTCTCGTTCTGTGTAAGACAGGGATGTCCAACAGGTTGATTGGGATCGACTGGTCAATCCCCGGGAGGTTGCAGTCGATTGCTGTTGATCACGGGCTCATTTTCCTTTGCTTTTGCCCAAGAGCACCCAGCCCTCCCTTTCCCCTTGCCTGTATTTTCTCCTGACATCTGTAACGAAAGATGGAGAGTGACAAATTCCCTCCCCCCTTAAAAGTCCCCCCAAAAAATGGAACCCCCCAAAATGGGCTTAAAATGGGGCATTTCACCTCCCTAAACGAAGTTCAACAACTTTGACCTGAACCCCTAAAAAGGGGGGGTAGATCACTGTCAGATTTTGATTCTGAAAGTAGTTCGCAGTCCCTCGGGAGTTGGCCACCCCTGGTGTAAGACATAGCGGGGCATCTCTCCTTCGAAAGAGACTGAAGTCTTTTCACATAATTTAGGCACAGGTAATCAGTTCTAGCCTGCATTGTTGTCACATCAGCTTCAGCACGAAGAAGAGCAGCTGGGGTCCCGTTGGGGAACAAGAGCACTTTCCTGAGAAATTTGTTCTTAATATTTTGTTGGTTTCATTGGGGAAAGTATGCACTTTGCACAAATGCAACACATATTAAGATATTTTAAGTTGTACTGATAAAGCTTATACAGTGGTACCTTGGGTTAAGAACTTAATTCATTCCGGAGGTCTGTTCTTAACCTGAAACTGTTCTTAACCTGAAGACCACTTTAGCTAATGGGGCCTCCCGCTGTGCCGCCAGAGCACAATTTCTGTTCTCATCCTGAAGCAAAGTTCTTAACCCAAGGTACTATTTCTGGGGTAGCAGAGTCTGTAACCTGAAGTGTCTGTAATCTGAAGCGTCTGTAACCTGAGGTACCACTGTATATTGTGTAAGCTGTCTTGAGAGCATAGGCACCAGCCCCTTAGGGCTGAAGACACCTCAGCCCCCTCAACATCGTTTAGCAGGGGGCTCAGCTCCCCTAATATTGAGGGAGTGGAGGAGGCCGAGTGCCGAGCTGGGCCCAGTTTCTTGGTGTGGGGCATGAAGGGGAGCTGCGTCTTCTTCCCTGAGACACGAGCAGAGCCAGGGGTGCCACCATGGCCACTACCTGTGCCTCCCCATACTCCCCTCGCACAGTCCCCAAACTTGCTCCAGAGGGTTGGGGGCAAAACTCCAGAACACATTTAGGCACAGGGAGAAGAAGGGGAGGGCGTTCCGTTGTGCAGGCACAGTCCTTGCACTGCATTGGATATCACCTGGAATCTGCAATTTTTCTACTGGATAGAAAGAAGCATGAAGTTTAGGCCAAAGTCAGGTTGGACTGCGACTGGAGAATTCTAACCACCACCCCTTGGGATTCTGGGGGAAATGGCACCTAACATTCCTAGCCTAGTATTGGGCAAACAAAACTGGGGAATGGCCATGTTCATGTCACTGCTGCATCTCATCCCATCCCACTCTGTATGCGGAACACATTCACGTCCATGTGGCTGATCAAAAATTAAACAGCAAAGATCCTGATCAAAGGCTCACACCAGGCCGTTAACTCACCATGCCTTTGCTTCGAGCTTTTGGACTCTGCAAGTCAGCAATTACTGCAGTGGAGAGGCTGACATTCCCTTTGCTTATTCCACCGAGAATTCTGGAGAAAATGAATAGCTCAAAGCTCCTGGAAATGGCCCACAAGGAATATGATGCTATCATACCAATCTACAGAAATAAGAAGGTACATACGCAATGAAAATAATGGAATTTAGAAAGCACAAGAAAATGTAAGCACTCCGCCTTGGACCTACAGTATTACACAGGGGAAGCTAAACTGAACCTAAACTAAAAAATGGGGGGAAACCTCATGTTTTCTCAAAAGAATACTGTTATTGGATTCTTTATTTGGGAAGCTAAAGAGAAATTCCAGGTTACTTATTCAGAATAAAATTATGATGAGGTAAAAACCCCTAGTACAATTACTGGCCATATGCAGACCAATTCATAAGCACATAAAAGCAGTATTGAAGAGAATTTTCAGACATATTGGGGTTGTCCAACCTTGTGTATTCAGCAATCTTCAAGCAGCAGAAATCATGAAGGTTATCTCAAACATCTCTGATGCTGCAAAGAATTGCAGCTTTTTCAGCTGGCATAGAAACTTTTCTCTTCTAGCCTAAAGGCAAGGCAATACACAGCTGTTTATTGTAAGATGGAATCAATAGCACTGCCAGGCTGAAGGGAGCCCAGGGAAAGATGCCTTTGAGAGCCACCCCCCCCCCGCGCCCTTTGGATCACTCACTCATCCTACCCCCAATACTCGCTCTCATCCCCATCTCCTTCCTTCCTGCTACTTGATAAATTAGTCATTTTCTTCACTTCATTAAAAGGAATCAGGAAAGTTGCTATGTACTGGGGTGTGGGTGTGTGCATGTGTGCGCTTGTGTGTGAACAAATATATTCCTTCTCCTTTCTTTAAATTAAGAGTAAAGCACAGATTCTGGTGGGATGTGCAGAGGGCTGCAGCAGGGAAGAGAAGATGATGAGGTCTTGTAGGATTCTGCCCCATAAATATATATAGTTATAAGTTTGGGGCAGGGGAGTAGGCTGTAAGCAAAGACCCTCTTAACCCCTGGATCCAGCAAGTGTGGAAATACAAGCCAGGCTGGCTTCCCATTGAGTTGAGAGCCTGGGTGAAGGGCCATAAAGAGAACAAAGGAAGGGGCTCTGTGTGAGATGGCAAATGGGTGGGGCCTCCTCTTCCAAGTTGTGGTTAGATAGAAGCACAAACCCAGAATTGACAGCAGAGAGTTTTGGAGTGATGTGAGCTAGACGCAAAGCAGCAAAGTGGAGGGAGAATCACAGCAATGTTTGATTTATGTTTGAATCCAAAGCTGGGGTGTTAATACTGTAGACACCCCCCTCCATACCCATGGTAGGCTCAGGTTGTGTATACACACACCCCATATCCCATAAAGACCCCAGAGCCTCCCCTGTACCTCATTCCGAAGGAAACACAATCCCTGGTTAAGCACCTGGAACCCCTGGAATCTCGCATTGCTCGGAGATTAGGAATGGCGTGCAACACTGCTGTCAGAAGTGGGATTCATGCTCCCTGAAGAACCTGTGAGCAAGAATCTGAGCCGAAATGGAGGAACGGCAGCATTCCTGGAGCAGCAAAGCCAGCAACGGATGGAGCGGCAAAACCAGTGGTTCAACTGACAGCTGCAAGCAGAGTGTGTGAGAAGCCTCAGTGGAGAGGAAAGCGTGACTCCACGCGAGGTGAGGGCCCTGCCGGTTGAAATGCGACAGGGGGTTGAAAGCGACCCAGGAGCCCCACTGGAAGAGATCCAGAGTGTGGATGGGCAGCTGAGGGCCTTGGACTTTGAAGAGATGCAGTCAGTAGCCAAGGACAAAACCTTGGAGAAGGGTGAGGTGGCTGGAGCTGAGGAGCTGCTGCTGATAGAGTTATCCACTTGTGGAAGAGAGTAATAGGAGGTGCATGTGAATGTACAAAAAGAACAGCCTGTGCCAGAGGAAATGGTGATGTGTTCCTCAGTGGTGGAGAACACGCAGGAAAAGCTCAAGGCCTGTGTCTGCGCACCAGAGGAGCAGCCAGCTCATGCTGAATTGGGTGAGTTTTAAAAAACAACTATGATTTTGCCCTACTTATTACCTGTGCAACTCAACCGTGCAAGATGAATTCAGCCTGACCAGAACTAATCCAGAAAATGTAATGGTTTGACTCACACAACACCCAATGCATAATGGAAAAGGGCTGCCTGGGTTTAGCCAGGGTTACTTAGATCATGTAACCGATCTACACTGCACATTCTTTAGTCCCATCAACAGACATACCACAGTCAACAACATGACCGGCCGTCTCCCAAAGTAATCAGACGTGGCACCAGTAAGTGGAGAGGAGAAGAACTGAAGGATGGAAAATATGGAGCCAATCAGACCTGCAAAATATGGAAGATTAAAATGCAATATGGATCTGCCAGCATCAAGGTCAATCCTTCACAATCATGTTCACATGTGAGCCATGCCACACATTACATTTTGAAGGCTGCCATGGATCCTAAACATTTTGGGCCGTTGTCCTCAGGACCCACCTGAAAGCATCAGGAAGTATTTTCCATGCATGATTAAGATGGCTAAATTGCATTTAATGCCAGATTTATATGGTCCTGTGCTCCATGCAAACTGTGAGCAAACCTAAGACCTCCATACCTCCAAATAAGACACTGTTGTATTTCCTTTCAGAAGGCACTTGAACCACTTCACTGAACCAGTCCACCCCATGCTGCAGCGTCATGTAGAAACTATCCTGTGGAAGAAAACATGCATGGGAGGGATAAATTCAGGGAGGACAGGGAAGCAACCATAGTCAGCCTGAGAGCTGCACACCACGTGCAATTATTCCGCAATAATTTTTTCTAGTTCTTGTCATGTGCAAAAAGTAACCACAACCAATGTTTTCAGAAACACTTGCTTTAATAGACAGAAAGCCTTAACTGCCCTCAGACCTTAGCAGGCTCTGCAACATTTGGACTATCATTTAACACCTTAGTGGTTCAGCGACAGACAGGCCACTGGAAAGAAAGAGAATAGCTTAACCACACTCTCACTCTCTCTCCGCTATTTATGCCACAGCACAAGGGGAAGAAGGAACTTGTCACGTTCTGCTTTTACTAATCCTATGCTTCACATCCAAACAGAGTAATACAAGGGCTTCCTGCATTGACTTCCTACAGTCAGCAACAAGGTGTACAACAAAGAGTGAAGCACGAAAACTAACCATCACAAGTCTGAAATCTCCCCACTGTAAGATAACAAGAGCGGCTTTAAAAAACACACTAACAGTTACTATTCGCTGCAGTATTACCGTACCAGTTTAGAGTTACATCAAAACCTGTCCTAAGTTTTCACCTAAGACACAGATGTGCTAGAGCACTTACTATGAACTCTAAACATTTATTGTTGCCTGAAAAGTTGTTGTTTTTAAGCAGTAACACATGCTCCATGAGCAATGCTGGTTCACTCAGATACCAAAACATTGAACCCAAACATTTCAAATTGCCCAGAGGTTACATAGAGGCATTGTCTGGTTTAGGCATCTGCATACAGTGGTACCTCGGGTTAAGTACTTAATTCGTTCCGGAGGTCCGTTCTTAACCCGAAACTGTTCTTAACCTGAAGCACCACTTTAGCTAATGGGGCCTCCTGCTAGTGCCGCGCCACCGGAGCACGATTTCTGTTCTCATCCTGAAGCAAAGTTCTTAACCCAAGGTAATATTTCTGGGGTAGCGGAGTCTGTAACCTGAAGCCTGTGTAACCCGAGGTACCACTGTATAGAGAAGATAGGGTGTTTGGCACACCAAAATTCCAGGTGGACCACTTTGGCACCTGGACTAAAGTGGTTCATTATCGTTAGAGCACACTCTTTACAGAGATGTGAGTTTCAAGCGCTGCCATAGCACAATCATGCCATGATCAAATACAGGTGGCATCCCATCATATTTTACATGTTTATCTCGAGTGTTTTGGGTAAATGTGGCTTAGGTCTTACTTACATTATTATTGCTGTAATGGTCAAGAATTGAAGGAAGGAGAGGCAGGATGAGGGTGAACCCCAACAAGTCTATGAGGAGTGCGATAAAAACAATGGTGATGACACGAGTAGAGCCCTCTTCAGTTCCCGGTGACTCCTTGAGAGGCCTCCTGCTCTCTAGGCTTTCCCCCAGTGACATTGTCTCAGGGATCCTGCTCTGAAATACAAAGGGTGGGGGGCGGTGGGGGAAGGGGAGGAAGTGGATAACTTGCTGACTCATTCTCCCTTCATTGAAATTTTACTGCAATTAAAAAAAAAAAAAGGTAGGAGGTAGTTTCCCTTGTTTATTTCCTTCTCCTGATCTATCCAATTGTGGATTGGTGACTCCATTTAAATCTCCCAGTAATATTATTTTTCCTTCCAAATATTCCAACAGGGTTTAACATAAAACTACCACTCCTCTTTTTTTTTAACTTAACCACAAAAATTCAAAATAAACACAGAGATATTAAAATTTAATATATCTGGTACAACAGCATCAAAAATATCAATACCTAAAATGAAACTATCTTACAGCTCCAATTCCCATTGTTGGGCTGGAAAAAAATGCCATTAATTTACAATGCAGCACCATGATCTTTCATTAATCAGGTGCTCTTTGAAGATGATGCTTTAGTTGGAAGTATTTGTCATAGCCTTTAGCAATCAAACAAGGTCTGGTGTTGAATACAGATGACTTTTAACTGCCGCAGGAAGAACAGTGAACTCTCATCTGTATTTTAATAGGGGTTAAAAATATGCAAGCGCTATTCTTTAGGGCAGTGATGGCCTCCAGCTGTTTTGGGACTACAACTCCCATCACCACTGCTTTAGGGTAAAACTTCTGAGTGTCCACAGAGGTGGAACGGCCACTGTGTTCTAGTGAGGACTGAAACAGACACTTTCCTTTGAGAGGAGGCTTTGCAGTAAGAGAGGCACCATCTAGCTGTAAAGGTTTAAATAGTTACAGAACAGACTTCCTTGGGCAAGGTTATCAGCTGCAGAAAACTGATAAATGAGTGTGTTCTATCAAAAAACAGATTGACAGAATGCACATGAGACAGAAATTCAAAAGTATTAAGGACATGAAGCATACTCCATATTATCACTTTTTCCATATGTACAAATGAAGCTGCAAAAATGCATATTGTTCAAGGCATTTCTCACCACATCCCCTTCCATGGTCTGCTGTGGTCTCACGCTTGTAGCAGCCGCTGCCCTGAAGCGCTCATATCATCTGGTGGTACTGCTTAATGGTTTGGTTTTCTGCGGAATTTCTGAAAATTGGTAAAAAAGTCCCGGGGGGGGGGGGAGCTCATCAACTTTCCCGTATGGATTTTCACTTTTTGAAATATGGCAAGCCGAGCTTTTATGGCTGCATTTTTTTAACACTGATACATTGTTTGGTTGCAGCTGCAATTACGTGTATGTGGTTTTTTTTTAAAAGCCACATTATAAGGAGGGTTGCTAATTTTCGAAAAGAAACCAAATCATGTATTTAACAGTGCCAAGTGATCTTAATTTCGCAGTACGATTTCAATCTATAGCATCAACTATCAGAGGCTGGACGCGGGGAATTGGCCAAAGAGGCGCGCACCCTGCAAGGCGGCTTCCAGGGGAGGGAAATGCACGACTGGAATGCAAAGAGGGGGGACCCTTCGGCATGGGGGGAGCCGGGCAGAAGCTGCCCCCCTAAATCAATACCAATCCCTAACAAAATTCCTGGCTGCGCCCCTGCTCCAGTCTGAGACTCTGCCCCCCTGACACAATTCCTGGCTGCAGTGGCGTAGTGTGGGGGGTGCAGGGGGGCCGGCCGCACCAGGCGCAACATGGGGGGGCGCGCTCGCACTCGCAGCTCTCTGCCCCCTGCTAAAATCCAGTGGCGTAGCGTGGGTTGTCAGCACCCGGGGCAAGGCAAGTAATTTGCGCCCCCTACCCCGTGGATTTGCGCCCCCTAACCCGTGGATTTGCCTAACCCCCAGATGTTGCGCCCGGTGCGGCCGGCCCCCCTGCCCCCCCCCCACGCTACGCCACTGCTAAAATCCACGGGTTTGGGGGGCGCAAATTACTTGCCTTGCCCCGGATGCTGACAACCCACGCTACGCCCCTGCCTGGCTGCGCCCCTGCCCCTGGGGACCCTCCCCTCTCCCCTCGTTCCCGGCAGGTGGGCGATGCCCGCGCCTCGGGCTGGCCGAGAGCAGCGGGGCGGAGGGAGCCGCCTTCGCCCGAGGGGGCGGCGGCGAAGGCGGCAGCCATCGCGCATCCGCGCTCTCCCCCCCCCGAGCTCCCCGGACGGGGACCCGGCGAGAGAAGGGCCAGGGGCGGGAAGGGGAGCCTCGCCGGCGAGGGAGGCCGCGGGGGACCCGCGCGCTGCGCCCGCCAGCCCACCTGCCCGGAGAAGCGCGGGGACCCGGCTGCCCGAGAGGCGAGGCGTCGGCGTCCGGGGTCCTGGGTGGCGCCGCGGCTTTTCCTGCCGCTTCCTCTTCCGGGCTGGGGCCTCTCCCGGCGCCTCCAAGGCCACGGCAAGCGGAGGCTCCCAAGACGGGAGGCGCGCCCTGGACAGAAGAAGCCGCGCCGCCCGGCGAGCAGCCCAGGCGGCGCGCAAAAACGCACCGCCGCTCCTGCTGCCGCCCCGCGAGGCGCTGGCTGGATCCGGCCAGGGGCGCCCGCAGCCCGGCACCCTCTTTGGGCCTGGGCAGCCCTCCCTCGCCTCCCGGCGGGGTCCAGCCACGGGTCTTCGGCAGCCCAGCTGCCTCCATTGCTGGCGGGCAGAGCGGGTCTTCGACGGGACCCGTTTCCTCCTCCGTGAATTGGCGTGAGCCTCTTGGAAAGCCACTCCAGTTGGTGGCCATCGCTGCCTGGTGCGGGAGCCAGTTGCTTCGTTGATGCGCTGCGTGAAGGACTTTTCCTTTTCTCTGCCCTAAAGCTGCCAACGTTTTCCAAACGGTTATGTTTGGGTATGCGTCTTGAATACCATTTTTGACTCGCCGGTGGACAAGTCAATGCATATTTCCACTTCAAAAATGAGTTCTCTTTTATCAACATCTTGATATAAATTTGCAGGTTCACTGGCTTTTGCCCTCAGCCCCTCTGTTGACATAGAATCTAACTGGGTATATGTGCTAGTGGAGCATATTTTCTTGTATCATAACTGTGAGAATGATCAGGCACATAGCAGAGAGCAAGTCCTATTGAACTCAGTGGGACTTTTGAGTAAAAATGCTTAGGATTGCAGTACAGTGGTACCTCGGGTTCCGTACGCTTCAGGTTCCATACGCTTCAGGTTACAGACTCCACTAACCCAGAAATAGTACCACGGGTTAAGAACTTTGCTTCAGGATGAGAACAGAAATCGGGCTCCGGTGGCGCGGCAGCAGCAGGAGGCCCCATTAGCTAAAGTGGTGCTTCAGGTTAAGAACAGTTTCAGGTTAAGAACGGACCTCTGGAACAAATTAAGTACTTAACCCGAGGTACCACTGTATAATACTGCAGTCTTTTACCCAGTTACCTGGGAATAAGTTCCATTGAATTCAGTGGGACTTACCTCTGAGTAGACACATACAGTGCAAGACTCAATTTAAAGTGGATTGGCTACATTTTCCTTCAAAATTACAGGAAGGAATAAATACAAAGTGCTTCACATGTCAGCATCGCATTTCTTTCATTTGGTACAAGTATTTTACAGCAGTGCCTTCTTTATGTATTCAAATAGTGTAAATGTATATTGTCCTCTAGAATGGTGTCCAAACTTTTTTCAAAGAGGACCAGATTTGATGAAGTGAAGGGCCGACCAAAGTTGTTGAGCTTTTTTAAGGATTTCCCCCCAGGAAATAAACTGCCACGGGGGCCAAATTAGGCCCCCAAGACCGACTTTGGACATGCCAGCATCTAGGTCCAAACAAACACCCCCATCCCACCTATTATAAGCAAGCAATACTCCAAAATGCTTATCTTGTGAACTTGCCATTTGTTTTATCATGACAATAGCTCCTGTTTCCCCCAAAAAAGGCAGGATACGGAAGTCTGATCTCTTCATCACTTTTCATTGATCTCCGAGACGTGGAAAAAGAAAAAGGAGAAAGTATATTTCCACGAGTTGGATCTCTTCCAATTCCTTAGATTTAACAGTAGAACAAGCAGTGGAGGGCAGGCTTCCCCACAAGCTTGGAGGGCAGGCTTCCCCACCCCCCCTCTTCAGAATTTCAGAGTTACAAAACCACAGGGGACCCAATCTTCACTGGGGAGAGCCACCAGCCTCAGTCCAACTATTCCCTCCCTCTCCCTGCTTCCTCTTGCAAATGAGCCTTCCACTTCAAGGGGAAAGGATCTGAAAGGAACACTCACTTAGCAACAGAGAAGGCCAGGCGCTTGCAACAAACACCATTCACTTTTTCCTTTTCTCTTTGGCTGAAGCCCACAGTAAATGCTGACAGGCTGGGAGCCTCAATGGCGCCCTCTGGAAGCTTCACCTGGTGCAAAAACCCAGGCTGGCCCCCCCTCCCCCCAGCTACAGCTCTTGTCAAACTGCACCTTAAAGATGATGATGATGATAATAATAATAATAATAATACAGTGGTGCCCCGCAAGACGAATGCCTCACAAGACGAATAACTCGCTAGACGAAAGGGTTTTCCGTTTTTTGAGTCGTTCTGCAAGACGAATTTCCCTATGGGCTTGCTTCGCAAGACGAAACTTCTTGCGAGTTCGTTTCCTTTTTCTTAAAGTCGCTAAGCCGTTAATAGCCGCTAAGCTGCTAATAGCCGTGCTTCGCAAGACGAAAAAACCGCAAGACGAAGAGACTCGCGGAACGGATTTCGTCTTGCGAGGCACCACTGTACATTTATATGTTGCCCATCTGACCGGGCGCAGGCAGGGAATGCTCTGCCACCAATTCAGCATCTTTTGCATTTGGCACAAAATGCAAGCCCCACTGGGACTGGCTCCAGCTGAGTGAAGCTGCCAAAAGTGCAGCTTGCCTTTGGCACTGAAACTTTCAGCAGGATAGGTGCCCCCAACACCTGTCAGAAGTGGCCCCTGGAAGGTGGGCTAATTCAAGATCCAACTGGACACTGGGATGTAGCCAATGACGCGTTTCCACAGATGGAATGGGCCCATGCGACGGGTGTGGGAGAAAGGTCAAGCCATGCTGTATGAATGAAAGGCTGCTTGTACAACCTTGGATACTGCCAGTATATATGCAATACTTACTTGGTTTTAATTAGCAAGAGCTTGCTTAGAAGGGAAAGGCCTACAATGACTCCCAATTACTTCAGAGGCCAGGCCTTGCAGTGCCAGGATAAATGTTCCACGTGTTATGAAAAAATACCGTCATTTCAGAGCTGCTTAGGTCTGATGGACAGAGTTGAATTGTCTCTCTTTTGTATGTGTGTTTATGGGATTTTATGCATCTATGCATATATTTATATTCACAAACATAGGGCAGGATACAAATGTATCACATTATTCTTGGGCATATTATAAAGAAAGTGAATGGCCAACTGCATGTCAAATTTTGTTGGCAAACATTAGTGAATTACGAGTTCCAGACACCATACCTTCTGACACCAATACTCAATTGCTGCCCCAGGAAAAACCCCTCCAGTGATATCCTGTGGTTTTGCTGCTCATCTACAAACAGTGCCAGTTGAGGAGAACATTGCATTCCCTGTTTGATTATCTTCCACATTTCTTTCAAATACCTTCTTCCAAAGTCACATTCTTTTTCTAAATAAACATCTGTCAGTATTTGGTATACTTTTTTTCAACGTGAACATTCCTTTATAAGGAAATGCCTACCTGTGCAGTTTGTGTTTTCCCCCTCTTAGTAATATACCCACACATAAGATGCACAACACAAAATGTAAAATATCTCTAGTTTCCTTCTGTACAATATAAAACTGTTTATTTAAAACTTTTTTCTTTTCATTGCCTTCCAGTCTCCTTCCTGCTGAGCAAGACTCCTGAAGAGTTGTTTCACTTTTCTTTTTCTTTCTGAATCCCTGAAAATTAAAATAAAATTACTTTTATTTTGGAACTACCCGTCCAATGAAATTTTGAAAGATATATACAACCTCTGATACAGTTTTAACTGAATTGGTGGATATAAGAAATCTGCACCAATCACCTCCACCTTTCAAAATTTATGAGAACCAAATGGTTTCCCCCCCAGACCACCTTGGTTTTCAAATGACCTCATGTTTTCAGAATTCATAACAGTAGGTGGTTCTTCAAAGACAGGGAAACAAATCCCTGACAGAGATCAAACCATGCTCTATAAAGGCTGAGTGCATATATCTTCCTCAGCCATGGTGAACAGCCTGGATTCAGAATAGGAAGGAACCTGACTGCATGTTAGATATGAGGATTAGTGCAGTCTGTTACTTCCTTGTGAGTTAGTGATTGCTGGAAAAATATAAATAGGGCATTATCTGAACTGATAAAAGTTTTGTATCTTGCAGTATAAAACATACAGACCATCTAATGAAGGGTTAGATTTCATCTGAAATCTGGTCTATTTCTACATTAAAACCATTGCAATGGATCATCTTACTGCTATCTCTCTTAGTTATCTCAAGGATAACAAATTTAAACCAAATTTAAATTTAAAAGAATATATGCATTACCTTTCCATGGTTTCTGCAAGCTGCATTCTAGCAAGGAATTGGTTATCTTTGCGGATCTCACGAACAGCTCCCTTAAATTCACGTTTGTGCTTATGAATTAGCCGTTTTCTTTCCTGCTCTTTCTTATTGCTTTCTTGTTTTCTTCCAAATTCCAGGCTGAAATTATAAAGTACATTATCTCAAACACACTTTTCTGCTGGACTTAACTGGAAATTTTGCATCAGGACCACCAACACTGCACACATATTGAGGACATCGTTCATAGCATAATAATCTGATCCACTTTTATATGGTTTAAAATATGTAAAGTTAAAAAACAGCAGAAATATTTCCACATTATATATAAACTGTTATTTTTAATTTATGTAGCTTCTTCCAGCTATTAACAAAATTGTTGTGCAAATAGGTGATGCAGCCCCTAAAAAATGCCTTTTACAAGCCAGTAAATTAAAGGCATTAGAATAAAGTTACAGAAATAAACTGGTGTTTCACAGTAGCAGCAGCAGCAGCAGCAGCAGCAGCAGTAAAGTCACAATGCTTTGCAATTCCCTTTCCTTACCTAGCACTGTTTTAGTAGCATCTAGTGTACTAACCCTCAGATTAAGTCTCTGATATACATAGGTGCATATCTACCAGAAGCCCCCCTAGGTTTTTTGCACACCTCAGGTAGGCTTAGGGTAGACTGGTTAAGTACTTTGACTGAGGCTGCTCTATGGCTAGATCACATACCACACTGGCAGCTTTGAAAGCACGAGAAACCATGCAGGAAGGCAAAATATGAGGTTAATTCTCATGCTACCCAAGGCAAAATAATTACTACCAGCCACATGGTTCCCAGTTCAAACATTAATGATTCAGGATAGGATGCAACCATTGGACCTTAGCTATATGTCTTTAGCTTTTCTTCCTAGTCTCATCACCTGAATTAATTTCACACGGGGCAGTAAACACCAAGCAATTATGTGCATTAAGCAGAGCTATCGATTCAACTTCAATTGTTGAACAGGGTTTGTCATGGATGCAAAGTGTCAAATTTTATTTGCAACACAGGCAATCTCCGTACATGACCCTCAGCCGTATTTCTTCCAGAGCTAGAGATACTCACACTTTCACTATTTTGGGTGTGAACAGCTTCAAAGGCACTGGCTTTTTCTTTTCACACACCAAGGGACAACGTTGCCCTTTGCTCTCCAGCTGTTTCAGAACACTGTCAAACAGCTCCTGAAAATGAAACTCTGCTTTAAAAAGGAAATTGAATAAAATGCAATAAAACAAATACACAGATACAGTTGTAATATAGTTAACATATACTAACAAAAAAGTGTTAGTGAAATTGTATCTGAATTTGCCTGCTGCTTTCAAAAAGGTTTTTGATAAAGTCTTCCAACAAAAGATGCCCATGTGAACTTAGCGGTCATGAAATAAGAGGATAGGTCCTTTTAGGGATCAACAACCAGCTAAGGAACTGGAAGCGGAGGGTAGGAGCAAACAGTTCTTGCAATGGAAGCAGGCAGGCAGGCAGTTGGGGTCTGTACTGGAGTGATACTGATGGTTCATACACAAGCTGGTGTCAGGCAGTCAATGAGGCAGCCAAGTTTGTAGATGGCACCTAATTAATCAAGATGTGAAAATCCAAGTGGACTGCAAAGACCTCAAAGCAGATCTCTCCAAACTGTGAGAATTGGCAACAATCCGGCAAATGTAGTTCAGTATAAATATGTGCAAAGTGTTAGAGACTGGGTCAAAAGGCTAACTTTCCAACAGTGTGAGTCCATCAAAATTGTCAGTGACTAAATAGTGGAAGATAGCGCCATGAGAAAGGTAACTTAGTGTGCAAATTAACAAATTCCTAGCACGGTATTTGCCTTTTCAGCATGCTGGTTTTACATTCATCTGTGGTGTAATGCATTTGAAATACCACACACAGTTCTGATTAGCCCACCTCTAAAAGGGCATTGTATCAGAGGTGGAAAAAGCACAGGAAAGGGCAACCAAAGTAGTCCAGAAGATGGAATACCACCTCTCAAAAGGGCAGGCTAGAGAGTTTGGAGCTTTTTGCTAATAGGGGGAGAAATAAAGGGGAGGGAGAGATTCACAGAACTTATATATGGTGTGGAGAAAGTATTTCTCCCTCTCATAATATAAGAACCTGGGGTCACACAATGAAACTGACTGACAAAATCCAGGGCAGACAAGATAAAATCCTTTACACAACACATAACTGACCAATGGAATTCATTGCCATGCAGTGCAGTGATGGTCAATAGCTCAGACGCTTTAAGGAGGATTAGACAAGTTCACTGATTGTAGTTCGATCAGCAGCTATGGAATGCAGGAGTTGCACAGAACCTCCCCTCCAAATTCTAAAGCTGCTAATAAAAAGCCCACTTTGATTATTAGTTTAGTCACTTGCTCTCAGAAATTCTGTCAAGCAGTTTGTCTTTCCACACTGACAATTTTTGAGATGTCTAGCAAATGAAAGAACTCAGTGTACAATCTTTGAAGGTACCACAAATGTTTCTATTGGGTGTTTGCCCCACAGAATGCTTCACAGACTGAAACTCAGTGAGGCGGCAGCATGTTTTACCTGCAGGTGGTGAGGGTACCTAATCATTGGCATGTGCGTCCTCAGCAGCATTTGGATGGGCTGCATTATTTCACTGAATGATGGAAGTGATCCATATGTAACTGCGCATCTCTTAACCAGGTCCAGGCACAGGTCTAAGCATGATAACCTGTAAAACAATTGGTAGTTGTCATATCAAAAGCTTAAATGACAAAACTGGCATTGCAATTTTAATGAAGAATTTGGAACAATTGAAATATCTACTTTTGCCCCACAATTAGCTGAGAAAAGCTGTAGCACAATTAGAGGTGAATGTTCCCAAAGTGAAGCATTTTCTTGCACTCCACAATGCTGGTGTGCAAAGCAGTTCTGTTGACGGTTTCCCCAACCTAGTGTAAAGTCTTGGAAGTGCTCAGAGCTGTCTGACTGGTAAGGAGAGACAAAAATGAACACTGCTACTTTAAAATTTCTGTTCTTCAGCCAATGAGCCCTGTTGGGCATAGTTGTGATTGGCCCACAATCTTGCAGTGAGCTTGTGCCAGTAAGCCCTTACATACAAACTCCATGCTTTATCAGGTCTATTTACACTATTATCACATTACATTTCACTCCACCTCCCTGGGTCTTGGGGACTCTAAGGATTAGTGTAGGACTGCTTGCCCCTTGCTATCAAAGTTTACATCTTCTACATCTTTATCATGGGAAGGCTGAGGTCAGCAGGAAGAAGAAATTACGTGTGGTGGTTGTTCCTCATCACACCCGAGGGCACTAAGCAATGAGAAAGACACCCCTTTAAGTAGCACCCTGTAGCCCTATTTCTGGGTCTGCACACATCACCCCCAAGGGATGTCCCCATGGAACTTCCTACCCCACATTTCCTGCAGTTGGCACAGGGGCTGGACAAGATGGGCTCTGAAGTCCTTCAAACACGTATGTATCTGTGAAAAATAGGCCTGAAGCTGTCCGGAGCACACCTAAAGCTTTCCTGCAGCAGCAGGAATTCATCTGCAGACACCTTTTACTCTCCAACCGCTGCAAGGCTGCACTCTCTAGTCACTGAAGACTATGAAAGGACTATTTCTTTTGATTTGCTTGATAGTGGAGTGCTTCACAGTAGTTTAGTCAGCTACCACTAACCAATTTCCTAAAGGCAAGGTGAAATATTTTGCCCACAATATGATTCTGTGTCTGTTGCTAAGGCGCACAAAGGACAGTTCTTTCATACACTGGATCTACATCAGCAGGAACACATTCTAAACACATTCTAGCATACCGCAGATGATTCATGCCTGTTCTGTCGTCTTTAGATCTAGTTATAATATGGAGTGGAAGATGTTGTTTTTGCCAGGCATCTGCATCTTCTTTGTCAGTGACAACAAGCAAGTCTGAGCGTTTTCCTAGTGACGCAAAAGGATGTACCAAGGTATAACCTGGAAGAGAAGAACACACTCAGAGATTAGTTTTAATATTGCTCAATATCTTACGGTATGGTAAATTTCAAAATAGTAAGAGACAGAATCACAGAATTCTAAAAATGTTCTGATGCACTAAACCAAGTAGACTCAGAAGGGGGGGGGGGAGAGAGAAAAAACATATATGCCTATTCTCCCCAGTAACCATACCTTGAACTTCTTTGTTTGGTATAGCCATGTAAAGAACTCCCAGGAGAAAATTGACCAGTTCTGGGATGAATCTTCGAGATAAGGATATATATTCTAGGAAGAGACAGCACACGAACAATCCTTTAACAACATCTTGCACTGTTGTTACTGTGCACTAAAGAAAAAATAGCACACGCAATTATCAAACACAGAAAACCAACTATTTATTCTTATTAGTCTCAATTAGCAGGTTATCAGTACAGTGGTACCACCAGTTGCAAACAGGATTCGTTCCGGAGCTCTGGTCGCATCCTGAGGAATTCACAACCGGAGGTGCTGCTTCTGCGCATGCGGCGAAACCTGGAAAAATACTTCCAGGTTTGCCATGTATGTATGCCAAATGATATGTAACCGGAGGTTACTTTTAATTGCTTTAATACATTTCTTTGAATGTGCTTTGATTCCTTGCCTTCCTGGAGGTTAAGAAGCATTCAATGAAAAAGTTCTGGAACCCACTGCAATGTATTAAAACTGAGGTCGGGAAGTCCCAGCCTCCGGTGTTTGAGCTGGCTGCAAGGGGAGAGGCGCTTCATTCAAGAGAAGGAGGAAGGAAGAGTTCCTCCTCTGGAAACTCCCTTGGTGTTTGCGTTGGCTGCAGAGAGAGGGGCTAATCTTCCTCCAAAGCCAGCATGGAAGTGCAGCAGACTGCTGGAGAATGAACTAAGCACCCGGCCCCTTCTTCGTCTGTCTATTGAAGAGACCCTCACAGGGTTTTTTTCTTGGGGGGGAGTGTTGGCAGGGAAGAAGAGGGCAAAGTATGATAAAAGGTCAGGGAATGTTTTTAGTTTCACCAAGCAGAACGGGGATGGAAGGGTGAAAAACCTCAGAAGGGGAGTAGTGAAGAGAATCTTACACAGCAAGAGAGGGATATGGAGGAACAGAAAAACAAATGAATCCCGTTGCCTTGCAATCATTTCATATAGGGGGAAGAGTGAAAGAGAAGGTGGTTGGCATAAACACTGAGGAAATGTAGCCCTGAACAGAAAGAAAAGTTGAAAACCATTAAATTATAAAATGTATCCCAACTCTTGTTGGACCATATTAATGTCCACCTTTACAAAATAAGTCCTGAAAAATAAAAGTTCCAAGGTCTACTAGAAGCCAAGACTGCTTTCACATATACCGTATTTTTCGCTCTTTAAGACTCACTTTTTCCCTCCTAAAAAGTAAGGGGAAATGTGTGTGCGTCTAATGGAGCGAATGCAGGCTGCGCAGCTATCCCAGAAGCCAGAACAGCAAGAGGGATCGCTGTTTTCACTGCGCAGCAATCCCTCTTACTGTTCTGGCTTCTGAGATTCAGAATTTTTTTTTTCTAGTTTTCCTCCTCCAAAAACTAGGTGCGTCTTGTGGTCTGGTGCGTCTTATAGAGCGAAAGACGCAGTGTCTTATACAGCAAATTGACAGGTGGGTGGAAACCCCCTGCCAAAAGGCAGTCTACAATTCCTGTACAGGAGGCAACCATTTTAGACACATCCAATGTGCAATCGCCAACACGTGGGTCCTTTTGGACCTGGAAGGGGAACAGGCTGTGGTGAACTTATATGTGGCTCACTGACATGCGGGGGCGGGAACAGAACATGCGTAATGGGTCACTGCCCATACATGCACAAGAGGAAGGCAATTTTGCAAGTTATGAAGGAAGATGAGACAGTACACCACAGCTTTAGACAGAGAGTACAGAACATGCAATTGAGTAACTCTTGGCAATCAAGCCCTAATGCTTGATTATGTGGTGATGTGGCTATAGAAAGGAACGTGTGTAACCTCAGCAGAATGGACTTGAATGATCTGTGACAGCAACACTACAGGTCTGGCATAAGAGCCCTGGAAAGCGAGATCTGCATTTGTCTGAAGATCTTCTGGCTGAGTTGGGCTGGTAGCGAGCACGCATCAGTTTTTTTTATTATAAAGGGGCACACATATGCTATAAAGTGCTTTAACTCCTCGTTCTTGGTTGGAACAATCCTGCATTGTAGTGGTCTCTTTCCCCATACATATGCACACACATAGATTGTCCTGTCATGCTGACTTGAGGCCCTAAAACTATGCAGAGAGATAGCTATGAAGTTATTATAATTTGCCATTCTGCACCTGCTCATTTACCTATCTCAGAACAGGTTCAGCTCTGCACAAAATTACAATCCCTGCACCATTCACCCCATTTTCCACTATGGCCACTAAACCCAGGTAGTGCAAAGGTCTTACGGTGTTCAGGGAAGTTCAGCCTCAAATTATGTCCCCCAAGAGGAAGGAATGATATAAGAACTTTAGGCAGATGGCTTCTGTATATAGTCAAGTGCATTTACAAAGATGGTAACTTTGTATACAGTCAATCTTCTTTTAGATGCGTAACTGAAGTTTCAATGGAAATCTTTACACATTTGAACTAGGTTATTATAGAAAGATCTGTGTCGTTAACAATATTGCGGACATACCTTTGTGAGTAGCTGGCTCATATAAACCAAAGATGGTGTTACCACTGGATGCCAGAAATCAGAGGTTGGAAAAAGTACTGCAATAATTTTCAAATATATAAGCTGAAAGGAAAAATATTCAGTCAGTAACAGTGGTAAATTACATTACCAACTGCTCAGTAGGCTAAGGGGATGTTAACGCCCCATTTCGCACGGCCCTTGCAGCAAGGAGCTTGAGCTGTTTTTGTGGGTTCCGGTGACCTATCACTGCAGCCAATGTAACCATGCAGAAAAGAAATGGCTAAAGTGAAGCAATCGTTTTCCACATCTGCTCCCTGCAGTTCCAGTTTCAAAAATTGCTAAAATACCATAAGACCTAGTCGCTCAGAAGCAGCTGTCATGTCCCCAAGTTTCATGGTGCATAAGGGTTAAGCTCATTTGAAGTCACTGGACATTCAAGTAAATGTGCTATAGACGCTATACCATAGAACATCCATGTGTTTATGCACATTACAATAAAAAAGGTCAACTTCTTTTAAGAAACCACTATTTTTAAAATTATTTCTTAAATTTGTATGCTGCCCTATACCCCTAGATCTCAGGGCAGTTCACAAATAAAATTTGTGCATGTCTCCATTCTACTTTCCTCAGTCAGAAGGAACAGTGAGGCAGTCAGGCCGCCTTGGTCAGTTAGGCTTGGCCCAGCCATAATCTGGCAGAACAGTCCCCCCAGCGGCCATTCCACCAGGCTTTTAATATTTCAGGCAGGACCTCCAACAAAATGTTAGTGTATCCTTCTCACCAACTTTCAAGGTGGCTCCTGCTCTGTCTTCCAACCAGGCAGCCACAGCACAAATATTTTCAACCAAAAGCTGTATTGAGTGCATTGGCAGAAAGATTTTCTATAAATGCAATAAATAAATAAAGACGTACCATATCTAACCCTGGAAATGCCGCATGACCTTTCACTGCTAGAATTTCTTCCATGTCATGAGTAGCATCTTGAAGGACAAGTTTAACATGATTACTTGCAGCTTTAGGGAACATTTGACAAAGATCATACAAGGGCCTGTTAACAAGAAGATCAAGTCAGATTTAAGGACAATGTTTAATGACCTTTTAATTCCAAAAGAAGAATGAACTATTGTTCACAGCCGAAATAATACACCCAATTTCTACTCAGGCAGCTTATCCAGAAGAATACCATAGTTAATGATATTGACCGTCAATGAGCTGAATTCAACGGACATCTAAAACTCATCAAACCTATTCATCCAGGTATAGGACATTTGGACCTCACTGACTGGCAGGTGTATAACAATTGCCTACCTCCTGGTGAACTAGAGCACAGCTGTCAACGTCTCCCTTTTTTTAAAGGGAAATTCCTCGCAAGAAAAGGGAGAAGTTGACCGCTATGAGCTAAAGGTCTAAGCTGGTAAACATCTTATTCAAAAAAAATCTTAGAACTAGGTATTTATAGGTTTTCCCTCATAAAACCAGAGACTGTGTACTACAAAATTGTTAAGATATTTCTCAGTGACTTAGAAAACAGACATATTCATAGTCTACAGCACTTTATCACTAGAAGAGTCTGAAAATGGGACAATTTCCCACCTGTCAAAACATGGGCATCAATACCTCATAGGTCAGTACTACAGATCAAAAAGGCATGACACATTACAGTGAGGCATGCGAGTTCCTTTGTCTGTTCAGATTTTTACTTTTTGGAGTAGGGCAGGGGGAGAGGAGTGCTTCCAGTAGCAGCCAGGAACCATAGTCTCCGCTTGCATAATTTATTTATTATATTTCTATCCTCTCCTTTCTCCCTATGGCGCCCAGGGTGGCAATAAAATGATTGCAAATTTCATTTATATAACATTTAGGTAGCTGCTACACTGTCTAGAGTCGGTGATCAGCTGGACATATAAAGGGTGACTTGTAGGGAGTCTGGTCCTGAGCTGCCTAGGATTTTGTATACTAGTTTCAGCACCTTGAACACAGCCTGGTAGCCAAATGGCAGCCAATCCATTATTCTCAACAGCAGAGTAAAATGATGGCAATATTCTGCCTCAGTGAACAGTCAAACAGCCGACTTTTACATTGGCTGCAGTTCCTGGGCCAAGCTGAGGGATAGCCTAACACAGAGAGCATTACATCTGCACAGCTGCAAGCCATGCCTATCTTTTAAACCAAAATTTAAAACTAGTTGACAAACTGGCTGAAACTAACCTTAGGTCTGGTACAGCTAGGCAAAGCACAGGGCGTGAAATTGTGTCAGCAAAAAGAGCAGCAAATACAATAAAATTTATGTGTGCTGGAGACAATTTAAATTGAAATAAAAATATAATATACTTACATTACCAACTTATCAACAGTTTTCAGTTCCGGAGGTGTCTGACGTGCCAGCTCCCCAACATACTCCAGAAGGAATTCAAACAGTTTCTAAAGGATAGGTTTTTAAAAAGTAAATGAACTTTGGAATGCAAAGTTCTTTGTTCCCTTCAATTAGCAACCCCCCCCCCATGTTGATGTGTGAATAATGTACCTGATCACAAAAACATACCTCTAACTTTGCTTTGTTTCCCACTGCAAGGCTTGGGTGATTAGACTTCCGAATCCGTTCAATCACAAGCAGTTGTTCTTCTGTTGTTCTTCCCAACAATTCAGCTTTAAGTTGCTCATAAGATTCTGGAGCTATTGTAAAAATTAAAAACATATAGCTAGCAAACATAAAACAAAGCTCAAACAATATGCCATAGAAAAATTGCACTATGATTACAAAACAAAGAATAAAATTTGTCCTTTAGCAAGCTGCCACAATAGTTGCCTTTGCCCTGAATCTGAAGAATAGGGGACCCAGAGCAGCACATTTCAGGAATTCCTGTTCTCTGGACAGCTTAGTAAGGTGTGATAACCCCTTGAGCCGTAATCGGCTGGCTATGGCTAAAACCGAAGAAACAGAGGTGACCCTGAAGGCCGGGCAGCTACCTCCAAGTCTTTCCGTCATGCTGCATCTGCTTTTCCTCCCCACCAGGTTGTTTTAATATGGCATCATCATCTTTATGCAGGAGAATGTTGGAAATTAAGTGATGCAACTGCAGCATCCAACCACTTTAGGAATTTTAATAACATGCATAAAAAACGGCTTTAGGCTTTAGGAGCTCAGAGCACTGCCACTCGATTTTTTGCTTGTGAAAAGTGCCACCCACTCAGAGAGCATCAGACTGAAAGTGTGGGGCCATGGAGAGAACAGAAACACCCTTTGAGGTTTACTCAACTGGGTGTGGTTCAGGAGAGCACAAGCCTAGTGCAGAGATGGCTTTAGTAGTCAGAAGGTGGTAGTTAGCTCACTTTTGTAGTCCTGTCCCTGGGGTTTCCTCCGATTCTGACATAAGTTCCACTGTTCCTCCTCTTTCTCAGGCATCTACTAAGCCAAATTCCACATTTTCCCCATGTTTTGTGGTTAAACCAGAAGGCAGCAATGTAAATGCTGTTTAAGATTTGAACTTTTCAAGAGATTATTTTATCATGTTTTAGATGCTCTTCTTTCTGAAAAACCAGACCACGCTATTTTCTACCAGTGAACAAGGATCAGTGCTTTCCTACAGAAAGTATCTAATGCAATTTGAATAAAGGTGTTTTTCTTCCTACCAGCAAACAAATATGGCACCTCCAGTTTTGCAGCTTCTCTTTTGGCATCTTGCTTCTTCATATGGAATTCATTCTTGCTTCCTTCCCTCCTTCCCCTTTTCTGCTCTCCAGTAGCAGTGGCTACCTCCATGACCTCCTCTTCAGTTTCAACATCAGAGGGGCTATCAATATCATCAGCACCAGTCACAGCTTCTTCATCACTTTCCTCTCCATCACCACTGCTGTCTTCTCTCTCCACACTCTCTTCCTCGTCTTTATCATCGTCAATATTCAGCTTGCCATCCTATTTAACAGATTGAGATATATATATTAATCAGCAGAATCTTTAGGCATTAAAGCAGAGTTTGCTTCTCAGTGAAGTCTCCTACTTGTTTGACTGGTGGAGACTCTGGGAATGATCTCCTTGCAAACAATGGGGAGGGAGGCCTTTGGGAAGAAAAACCTGGCAAAGAGTATGGGTCAGAAAATGCCTCCCCACTTACTCTCTCCCTAGAAGCAGTTGAGATTGACATAGCTAAAAAAAGTATAGCCAACAACAAAGGAAGTGTCCATAGCAAAAAGGGCAGGTCCAGGAGTACTCTGATGAACTAGAAGAATTGACAGCAAAACAACTTCTCAGTTCTCCCTATTGCTTCCATTCAGTAGTCCAGCTGCTAGGGTGCAATAGAGCACTACCCCAAAAGAAACAACGGCTCCATTCCTCTTGAGCCGCAGACTATCTCTGGTCAGACCATCCCTGTATGACTCCCACTGGGAGTATTACTGAATGGGATGGATCCAAGATACAGGGTGTCAGGCTGAGGGAGAAAGCAGACTTCCCAGGGCACCACCATGACCAGCTGTACAACTACAAGGGATTTTAATTCACATGCCAGCAATGTTACATGCTTAGTCTTCAAAGTAATTTATGTCCCCTGAGGCCTCTGCAATTTGCTCCCAAGGTTGGCATGGCTGGATTGTGATCTTTTTGTTTCAGCTTCTTTTAAAAACTCAATGAAAAAACATGTACCTTATAAGAAAGCATACGCCTGTCATCTTTATCAAGGAGGAATCCATCTGCCAAATCGTCAGCTGATATGTGCTTGGGTTTCTTTTCTTTCTCAGGCTCATCTCCACACATTCGACGTAATCTGTCAGTCTGCAATGTATAATATGTTGAGAACAGTAACATTAACAGCTAGTCTGATTTTTTATCACAGAAGGTATGATAAAATTCTGCTACAATGGTGCAAGCATTCAATGAATGATGGAGGCATTTATATTTGTCAGTGATTGGTAACAATATTGGTACAGTGAGCCAGATTTTTATCTCTCTCCACTCTATGAAGCAACCTGTCTGTCAAGCTTCTAATGTCATGACAATGCCAAGTTATTGACAGGTGGACAATCCCCATCCACCTGTCAAAACTGTCCAGCAGGGTGTGGGGATGAAACTGCTTCGTCAGGAACACACTGGAGAAGCAGCACCCAGCAGGTTCAATCCTCCTGGCTGCAGGAGTCTGCTTCGCCAGCAGGGACCAAGCTGGCAGAAGAGCCTTCACTAGTCCTCCATCAGATGATATAAGCTAGGAACATCAGCTGATGGGCAGAGTTTGGGGAAAGAGCCTTTCAGACAAACTTGGCCAGGTTGGAACTGATTATTCCAATAAATTAAGATCTACACGAATCAAATTCAACATAAAACATGTATAATTTGTTGGTTACATTTATATCTTGTATAAAACGTTCAGGACAGAATACCCCAATTTTCTCCTTATAACCATCCTGTGGTTAAGATGTAGGTTAGACTGGTTTAAGGTCAACCTGAAGCCTAAATCAACACTCTAAAACACCATAGCACTCTGGCTCTCAAATTGTGTTCAGGACTCAGAATAAAACAAAACCAAACAGCGTTAAAATGCCTAAAATCCATGGAAAAACCAACTCAAGAAGCAGCAAAGGGGGGAAACCAAGTTAGTGTCTAACCAAAAATGAAGCTAGAATTAAGAGGCCTGGAAGTGTTTAGTGGTTACTTGCCCAGCCTCAGCTGGCAGAGGGACCCAGAGAAAGGACTGCATTCTCCAGGTCTGGGCAGGTATATATGGTAGGAGACAGTCCTTCAGCTATTTCAAGTTAAAATATTTCATGGGTATTTATGGCATCTTGTATATTCACAGTCACTGAAAACAGTTTATTATTATGTGGAACACAATACACAAACACCATACCTCTAATTGGAGGAGTCTCTTTTGTTCTTCCTTTGCTAATTCTTCTTCTGTTTTCATCCTACCAGAGGGTTGTGCCTTCATCTCAAACCCAAGCTCCCGAACTATCATATCATATTCATCAGGCTGTGAGGGGAAAAAAAAATCACAAACAGTAACAGTCATAGTGCTGTGCTCTACAATAGGAACCTAAGAGTAGCCCTGCTGGTTCAGGCCAAAGGCCCATCTGGTCCAGCAGAATGTTCTCACAGTGGCCAACCAGATACATGTGGGAAACTCCCGAGCAGGACCCAAGTGAAACAGTGCTCTCCCCAACTGGTATTCAGAGGCATGCAGCCCCAACAGCGTGTTGAAGAAACTGGACGTGGGAAGGGGTTAATTTCCTTTATGAGTGTAAACTACCCCATGGATGAGCTAATTCAAGGTACATGGACCGCCAAGCCAGTTGCTACGGTAATGCCCAACTATATCTGTGATTAATGTTGTGTGAGCTAATTCAATAGTCTGCAATTAGTCTGTTAGTCAATGTTACTTTTGTCCAGTGTTACACCTTGAATTGCTGAACTTATTTAGAGCAACAGGGATATTCTATACTTGCATATATCTGTATATATAAAGCCTACAAGCTGTATGTATCTACGTCCAGAACTGGTTTACTGAGCCTTATCTTCTGCAACAGTAAACTATCTGAACCTTTCTCTCTGTGGTGAATGGAACTGGGAGCAACTTCCATTTCTTTGGCATAAAAGTTTGCATTAAAAACCTTTAAGTATTTCATTAACATCTATTTTAAGTAACTCCCAAACCAGGAAGCATTATAACAACATTACAAATTTTCTTACATTTAATTCCACCTATCTTCTGTCATGGAATCTAAGGCAATGTACCGTATTTTTCGCTCTATAACACGCACCTGACCATAACACACACATCGTTTTTAGAGGAGGAAAACAAGGAAAAAAATTCTGAATGAAACAGTGGATGTATCATTTTTGTGCTTCATGCTGTGGCCACAGACATGTGATCTGATGGTGAATTTGGGGTAGCTCAATGCAAAGATCCTGAGGATCCATGTGGATCCATGCTTTTTAACCACGTTTTTGCACCATTGCAGCCCCAGGCAACAGTGGGTGTGTGATTTTTGGGGGGCAGGCTGCTATGTGATCTGATGGTGAATTTGGGGTGGCCCAATGCAAAGATCCTGAGGATCCACGTGGATCCATGCTTTTTAACCACGTTTTTGCACCATTGCAGCCCCAGGCAACAGTGGGTGTGTGATTTTTGGGGGGCAGGCTGCTATGTGATCTGATGGTGAATTTGGGGTGGCCCAATGGAAAGATCCTGAGGATCCATGTGGATCCATGCTTTGTAACTACATTTTAAGTGGGGAGTGAAGGAAAAACACAGAAGGGACAAGAGAGCGGTGTGCAGAGAAGCAGCTGGCTAAGAAAGCAGGAGAGGGATTTTACGGGAGGGAAGAAAGAAAGGCAAAAGTTTCCACAAACCGAAGCCAGCTTTCTCTCTCCTCCTGCATGTTTTCTGGCTGCCTGCGAGGAGCACGGAGAGGAATTAGAAGGAAAGACCTCTGCTTTCCCCTCTGCTTGCCTGGAGGGGAGGGGATTTGCCTGCTCTTTGTTCCGTTTGAGCAAACACAGCAACGAAACAGAGGAGGGTGGGCAGTAAGACCCTGAGGCAGAATGCAGGAAAGCAACCACTTCCTCTTTTCAGGTTTCCCTCTCGGACACAACGCACGATTGATTTTTGCTGATTTTTGTTCCTGCGCTCCCCTAATCGGCTGCAGGGACCACATTCGCTCCATAACACGCACAGACATTTCCCCTTCCTTTTTAGGAGAAAAAATCTGCGTGTAATAGAGAGAAAAATACGGTACATATGACACTGCAAATAACTGCCTAGACCCAGACAGGGCTCACGAAAACCTCATTAGTTTACAATGGAATCCTATACATGTCTATGTGGAAGTAAACCCCTTTGTGTTCAATTGGACTTACTAGGTGCGGATCGGATTGTAAGTTTGCCTACTTACATATCCACCACTGAAACAGTTGAGAATTATCTACAAGAATGAACAAGTTGGTGGCCTGCTCTCTTCACTTTTTTTTGAAGGACACAAGAACACTTGACTTTATCAGTAACAGGCTGGATGCCTTCAGAGACATGTACCTTCACTTGGAATTTCAGAGAAGGGAGTGTGGGCTATTCCATTAGCTGACACACCAGATGCCTCTGAACTATCCATCTACTGTCAGCTAGCAACTGCCATTCCATCAAGCTACTTGAACTGTTTCCATACCAGCTGGTTATTTAAGAACTGCAGCTTTAAGAACTGGTGCCCAAGTTTATTTCTTTTTTCTCCTCCCTTTGTATGCAATATTGTGTGTGTCTTTTAGATTGTAATCCTGAAGGTAGAGACTGTCTTTTAAAAAAATCGTCAGCCATATAATTTAGAATTTTTGACTGAATAAGAGTAAAAAGATGTGGAAAGCAGAATCTAGACTATCACCTAAATGCACAGGACGTTAAGAGCAGGGAAGCACGCTAAGAGAACATCACTAAAATTCACAAAGTTTCAGTTTTTCTCTTTATTCCATACAGGAATTTGTACCACTAACAGGCAGAATACTATTTGAAGTAAAACTGGATAGCAAGTAAAATAAGGCTTACCTTGGGCTTCTCCTCTTGATTTTGTCTCTCCGACTTTGGGGTCTTGTGGAACAGAAAGGCTTGAACCTCCTTCCAATCACTGTTGAGTTTTTCTGTAAGCTCCAATGTATTTTCCCTCTGCGTTTGCCGCTCCCTCTAAACAGAAAAAAGAACAATTGTGGGAAACGGTCTATCATGCAACTAGCCTTTAATGTGCAAACTCCTCTCTTGAAAACAAAGAGAAACTGAAATTGCACACAGCCAAAACAGAACCGAATTGAACACTGTATCTCACAGAAAATGGCAAATATTGGTTAACATTGTTTTATTTCATTTTTTAATTTCAAAGGAATTCAAATTTAGTACAAGAAACCCAGAGTTTACCTTTTCCAGTTTGGATTTTGCTATCATTTCTTCAATGAGTTCCTTCCGTGACTTAGGTTTTTTATCTTCTTCGCTTTCCTTCCCTGTGATGGCTTTCTTAGAGAGAAGTCCACCACCTCCAAAGTGAGCAGCTGTTAATTCCGCTAGAGATGAAAGAATGAAGCTGCTTAGGAAAAGGTCAAATGTGGCTTCAGTCCTAACCCCATTTATTGGAGAAGCAGCTCTACTGAATTCAATAGTGCTTACATCTGAGCAAACATGGTTAGAATTCCATTGCAAAAGTACCAACCAAGCTAGCAATGTTTGTTAAGAACCAAAGGATCTTTTTTTCTGTGTCCTAGGAAACACTGAGGAGTTTTACATGGCATCTCTACGGGTGGCATGTCAAAACATTTCTCCAACTCTAGAGACTGTTTTAAATGAAATAAACAGCACATTTTAAATCATAGCTGTCATTACTCCTAGTCAAAGTAGACCTACTGAAATCAATGGACTTAAAGCCTATTAGTTTCAATGGATCTACTCAAAGTATGACTTACGTTAGCTAACACACTATAATTTTAACTTCTGAAAGTAGAGTCTTAAATACAGTCGTACCTCGGAAGTTGAACAGAATCCGTTCTGACTTCCGAAACGTTCAGCTTCCAAAGCGTGGCTTCTGATTGCCTGCAGGAAGCTCCTGCAGCCAATCAGAAGGCGTGGAAGCCCGGCTTCCAAAAAAAGTTTGAAAACCGGAACACTCACTTCCAGTTTTCGATCATTTGGGAGCTGGAACGTTTGACTCCCAAGGCATTCGGGAGCCAAGGCACAACTGTATGGGTATAAAATTAGAACATGTGCCAAATTTTAGTTTCATATTCCATCACACTTTCGGATAACTGTAGCTACTTGCACCTGAAAAACTCCACCATTGCAATAAATAGAAAATGTGGTGCCTTATGTAACACACAATTGCCATATAGTAGGACATATGTACCACTCTGCTTTTTTTACTCTTCTTACCTGAGAGTATTCCTCTTTCTTCAGTGTCACTGTCACTATCAATAGTATCATTACATTTTTCAATGTCTGCTAGAGAATGGCCATAGTGGGTTAAATCTTCATCTTCATTGAGATTATATATATTTTTCTTTTCATAATTTTTCTGTAACAAAACAAAACAAATCAGTAAGTGTTTTTTGTGATCTTTGGTAAAATGTTAATTCCTATCCACACTGTCAAGACATAGAGATATTGTGCCTATACTTTGGTTAAGCAAAGAAGCTTAGACTTCTGGGTAAGGCCTGGAATCAAGAGAAAGTAGCTCTCTATTTAGAAGGGTGTGTAGAGAGTAAATGTAGAAAAGTACATTCCTGACTGCAGCTAAAATGTCAACGTCAACATACAGTGGTACCATGGGATGCGAATGGGATCCGTTCCAGAGCCCCGTTTGCATCCCAAACGGAATGCAAGATGCGACGGCGCATCGCGTTTCTCCACTTCAGCACATGACGTCATTTTGAGCGTCTGCACATGCGTGAGCGGCGAAACCCAGAAGTAACGTGCTCCGTTACTTCCAGGTTGCCGCGGAGAGCAATTCGAACGAGCTCAATCCGAAGCACATTCAACTCAAGGTATGACTGTATAGGCGATGGGAGATTTCCTCCCCTCTCAATGGCTTTACAGAATCTGGGATACAGTGGTGCCCCGCAAGACGAACGCCTCGCAAGACGGAAAACCCGCTAGACGAAAGGGTCCTGGACCTCTTCTGAAGGCCGACGGGGGGCGAAAGTCTTTGCTCCCCCCTGCCTGCCTTCCCGGGAGAGTGGAGAAACGCAGCGTGTTTCTCCGCTGTCCCGGACGGCTTTTGAAGGCAGGCGGGAGGGAGCAAAGACTTTCGCACCCCGCCCGCCTTCAGAAGAGGTCCTGGACCTCTTCTGAAGGCTGGCGGGGGGCAAAAGTATTTGTCCCCCCTGCCTGCCTTCCCGGGGGCTTTTAAATCGCCCTGGGACAGCGGAGAAGTCCCCCGCTGTCCCGGGGCTTTTTAAAATGCTGGCGGGCGGCAGCGGAGGCTTCGCTCCCGCCCGCCATCATTTTAAGATCGCCCCGGACAGCGGAGAAGTCCCCGCTGTCCCGGGGCTTTTTAAAATGCTGGCGGGAGGCAGCGGAGGCTTCGCTCCTGCCCGCCAGCATTTTAAGATCGCCCCAGACAGCGGAGAAGTCGCCCGCTGTCCCGGGGCTTTTTAAAATACTGGGGGTGGGAAGAAAAGCCCTTGGTCCCCCCCCCCCAGCCTTCAGAAGAGGTCGGGGGACAGACTGTCCCCGGACCTGGTCTGAAGTCGGTTTCCATAGGAACGCATTAATTTATTTTCAATGCATTCCTATGGGAAACCGTGCTTCGCAAGACGAAAAACTCGCAAGAAGAAAAAACTTGCGGAACGAATTAATTTCGTCTTGCGAGGCACCACTGTATGGCAATTACATATAAATGCACTATGACTGAGGGACAATGGAGTCTATGAAAACAGGTTTTGAGAGACAGGCAACTTTTTTGGGTGTGTGGGGGGGGACACCAAATTTAACAATGATGTAAGATCATATTCATTATTTCAGTGTTTCCCAACCGGTGTTCCGCGGCACACTACTGTGCCGTGAGACATTGGCTGGTGTGCCGTGGGAAGGAGGCGGGCGAGTCGGGCGGTGAGAGGCGGCGGCGGCGAGGATCCGCGTCGAGCCGGGGGCGGCTCCGCGGTGGTGGTGCCGAGCGGCGGGGCAGCGCGTGCAAAAGGGAGGAGCGTGAGACAGCGGAGGAGGAGGAGGCCGGCATGTCCGGGCAGCAGCAGCAACAACAGCAGCAGCAGCAGCAACTCCCGGCGACGGCTCCTCAAGCCCCGCCGCCGCCCCCTCCTCCGCCCGCTATCGCCGCCGCCGCCTCAGTTGCCGCCGTCCCTCAGTCCCTCGCTCTGCTGCCTCCTCCCACCCCCAAAGCTTGGAGGTTCCCCGGCAAGGGGGAGGGAAAAAACTTTCACTTTCGTGCGTCCCTCCCGGCGTGACGCTGCGCGCTGACGTCACGGGGCGGGGCTTTAATGGTGGTGTGCCGCGAGATTTTTTTTCAGTAAACAGGTGTGCCGTTGCCCAAAAAAGTTTGGGAAACACTGCATTATTTAACTGAAATTATGATTTGGTGGAAATGATGCTTTTCTTTTTTGTATAACTATAACAACAATAATGACCCTTGTAAAATGGCCCAATACGCAATTCATAAAACACACTTTTTATATTTCAAAACTTGTAACTTCTGCTTTTCCTATTATCCTTTCCCGCAGCAGGAAACACTTCTCGTCCTTTGTGTTGGTCACTTAATCTCTACTCTTTAGTTCTCTTAACTCTTATTCACATACATATTTTAAGTTTCTCAAGTGACTTAGATGTCTAATTTACATATGGCATTTGCTAGATGGACCCAACAAAATTCTGCAAAATGAATAAATGATAAAACTACCTTGCTTCAGAGAAAGCAAATTTTCAGATGGCTTAACCATCGTCTACCTGAACACCAAGAGCCATGTCCCAGCTTCCAACTCTTCCCTTGTTTCTTCCTTCTATAGATGCTACTCTGCCTACCAATCCCCCACCTATTCCATGTTGTCTTCATTATCACCTTGCTCATGCCGCCCTTCTCACATGATAGAAGTAATGACCAGTTGGCCTTACGTGCTAAACTAACAGCCTATTTTTCAACACGGCCCTTGAAATAGATTTTGGAGTTGGTGAACAATTGCTTAGAATCCCAAACAATTTATAAAAGCAAATATAACACTGCCAAAATGGTTTAGCATCAACTCTCCAACATGCTGATAACAGGCAACTCTTACGCATCTTTAGTTGGAAGTAAATACATTTTAGAACAATGAGACTTACTTTCAATTAACTGTGCATAGGATCACAGTTTAAAGTTACTGGAAATTCTGTTTGGTAAGAGAGAAAGGGAAGTACAAACCTCTTGGAGAAGCAGAAAAAACTGATCTTAGTAAAATGTGGAATTAAGGAAGAACTTATCTTCAACTTTGCATATACTATTACTTGATAAAAATATAGCTCAAATGTTCGTTCAATTTAATATTTATTTATTTATAAGAGAACAGGAAACTTCTAAAGAGTTGCTATGTCACTTTCTGAAATTATTTTAATTATTACCTGTTGTTCCAAAGCAAACCTCTTCATCATTTTTTCTTCTGGGCTTATTTTGGTATCATATTCCCCAAAACGTTTGTCTTTAAAGACATTGGATTTTTCCTTTTCTTTGTATTCTTTCTGCAAAGTCTGAATACGCTGAAAAAGCAAAATGCCACAATATATTAAGGCAGAAACAAATATTACTCAAACAGGGCACCAATAAGCCATAGCCAAACATGTTACAAACCATATATTATTAATTTACAATGCTACCAATGTTTTCGGGCTTTTTAGCTGCTCACCTGCTGGTTTTTAGTTCTCACACCCTCCCCCGCCCCCGCCTGAATTATCCTCTTGACCAAGACCCAAAATTAGGTGATGCATAGTTAGGAAACAGGGACGTGGGTGGCGCTGTGGGTTAAACCACAGAGCCTAGGACTTGCCGATCAGAAGGTGGGCAGTTCGAATCCCCGTGACGAGGTGAGCTCCCATTGCTCAGTCCCTGCTCCTGCCAACCTATCAGTTCAAAAGCACGTCAAAGTGCAAGTAGATAAATAGGTACTGCTCCGGCGGGAAAGTAAATGGTGTTTCTGTGCGCTGCTCTGGTTCGCCAGAAGCGGCTTTGTCATGCTGGCCAGCTGTACGCCGGCTCCGTCGGCCAATAAAGCGAGATGAGTGCCGCAACCCCAGAGTCAGTCATGACTGGACCTAATGGTCAAGGTCATGATGGTTTTTTTTTAGTATGACAATATTATTTATAGTGTTTGCTAAAATTAATTTAATGTCATTTGTAAGTTGCCTTTGAAAGATTTGTATCCCACATCATACCACGACATGGAAAGTTGCAAAACTGTCTGGCCCCATTTCCTAGTATGCATTTAGCAAGAGCACAATCTACACCTCATGCATTCCTAGCCAGCACAGACTCCAGGCACAGTCAAGATTCTCTTGCCATCTAATTAAAGGTGATCTTGTAGGTGAGTGGTCTTTGTGGAACTACTACCTGGAAGGGAGGGAACCCTGACCAGTTATGAAAGATGAGGCTGCTGAACACTTTGAGGCTGGGGTGTTGTTTCTGCTAGTGATATTACTTTTGTATCTCTTAGATCTTATTTTGATTGATGTGGAAATTGAACAATTTAGCTGTGCACTTTTTAATATTTTATCTATGCTTATGCCTACCTTTGTGACATTTGTAACTATGTATTTTTTCAAGTTGTAAGCCCCTTTGAACGTGCTGTGAATTTTGGAATGGCAGAAGACAAACAAGGTATGTACTGAAGTACTAGCATTATGAAGAAGCACAATGTGAAACATGCGCTATTTTACAGCATACCTAGTGGGTTCCGAATACAATTCGATGTGGCTTTACTAGTTGATTTGCTTTATTGGGTTGGCGAGTTTTATTGTGCTGAGAGGCACATGCTCAGGACCGCCTCTCCACACCATCTGCCTTTCTCCATAAGCCTCCTCCACCAGAGGTCCTGAAGGTGGCAGCAAGGCAGCGGGGCCTTTTCTGTGGTGGCTCCCAGTTTGTGGAAAGCCCTTCTTCCCAGGTAGGATCTTCATAATAACCCTTTAGGTGCCTGGCGAAAACATTTCTCTGTAAACAGGCCTTAGGTCGATTATACAATCTGTGACCTTTTAGAAGTGGGCGGTTTATCTTTAATGTTATCTTTCTCCCCCCCCCCCACCCCGATTTTAACGTATCTCGGGGGGGGGGTTGTTTGTCAGTCGCTTCGGGCTGCAACGGCTAATTTAATAATAAATCCTCATCATGGTAGTCGCGACAAGAGGAGCCCCGTTTCTCCGGCGGCAGCCAAGGGCTCACCTTCCTGTGGGCCTTGGAGCGCGTGACGCCCGGCAGCCCCACGTCGTGCCTCGTCTTCCTGCCCAGGATGTGGAACTTCTGCCTGTTGACCTTCACCTCGAAGGGGTTGCTCGACACCGAGGGGGCGGCAGTGGCGGCGGCGGCGGGGAGGCCCTGAGCCCGCCTCGCCGCGGCGCCACCACCGGCCCCCTTCCGCTTGCCCGCTTTGCCCATCGCGTCTCACGCAGTTCTCTCCCGTCGACGGAGCTCACCCGACTCCACGAGCCCCGGAAGTCGCACGTGAGCCTCCGCGCGACAACTCTCGCTCTCTAGTTGTCGCGAGATCTCTCTTTCGGCGGAAACGGGCCGTAGAGTCGAAGCCGCTTACGGAAAGGAAGGGCGCATCCCAGAATGCCTCGCGCAGGAGTCTTTACGGCTTCCCCGCCGCTTCATTCTCCGCGACTGCGTTTCGGGAGTCCGCTCGCCCCCTGCTGGCGGGCGGAGTTAGGCCTGGCACTGTCCCGCATGCGCAATCCCGCGGCGGCGCTGGGAGGATCGTAACCGGCCAGCAAATGGACCAATCGCAGCGGGGCTGTTGTGGAGGACCGCCCTCAGGGCGGGGCTAACTGCGTCGGCTGGTGTCACGTGCGTCCGCACCTGGGCTATAAATAAAGGGCCTGCGCAGCCCCTTTTCGCCTAATCTTGGCCGTGGCTAGTTTGTTCACTAGGCAGTGGTTGAAACTGCCGATTGGAAAGAAAGGAAACTGAGGCCGGTTGTCATGGGGCAGCGACGCGTTTACGCAGAAGCCGAGAAAGTAGCAAAGAGAAGATTTCGCGCACGTTTTTTGCACGAGGGGAAAAAAAAACAGGCTTCCAATGTCTTTTTTTTTAAAAGCATGCTAGTAAAAATACAGGCAGTGCATTTGCAAGTTGCGAATGAGATGACTGTGTCAGCCGCACAATTTAACCAAACTTTTACTATTGCAGGTTAGCGGGTGGAACTGAAGCCGGTTAAGCCTCCCATGTAGACTGAAGCCCTTGTGCTGGCACGTTGCTCTTTCAAATGTTTAAGACCTTAGAAAAGAAAACGAACATTTTCAGACGAAATAAGGTTTCAGTTAGAAAGAGACTATTTGTTCCTGCAGCAGCACATTGGGAAGCTCTGCAAAACCCCAACACTTTCAGTTTGCCAAAAAGACTCCGAGACGCTGGATTATTCGTGAAACCAGCTTACTTTTAAAAACAGTTTCTCTAAAAAATAAGTCAACATACTTGTTGAAAAATTGATATTAGCTATACCTTTTTGGAATAATAAATGTCAAAACAAATGTTATTCCTGCATTGCAAGGTGCTGCACTAGATTACCCTTGAGGTTCCTTCCAACTCTAAATTATATGATTCTGTGGCAAAATACAGCTGTATATACTGTGTGTGTGAATATGGGTCCCTATCTTACTTTACAGTTTCATTCCTGGAAAAATCCAGTAAGTCTCCTTATGTTTATTGTGTTCGTGGTCTGTTTCATCTGATTCTGATCAATGTTGATTGTGATTAATTTTAATAGTATAAATAGTTCTTTTTTATTATGTTACTTTATGTCCCTCAATTGTCTCTTTGCTATTACAATTTTTAATTATTACTTAATCATTAAAAATAAAGAGCGTGAATTGTCTGCTGCTGTGTTTGGAAGTGAACACACTACTCATTCACAGCCACTGTAAAATCTACAGTTACCGGTATACCTCATGTTGCATTAGGTTCATGTTGCGTCAGGTTCATATTGTGTCTTTTCAGCTTGCGAATGTGGCAAACCTGGAATTGTATACTTCCAGGTTTCGCCACATGCACAGAAGTGTTCTTCGCGCATGCACAGAAACATTCTGCACACTTCACACATGCGCAGAAGCGCTCTGTCATACTCTGCGCTTGCGCAGAAGTGCTGCTCTAGTTGCAGACTTTTCGGGGTGCGAACGGCACCCTGGAACGGATCGTGTCTGCACCTGTCACTGGTCTTGACAAACTGAGCTTAGGGTAGATCTACGTTATTTAAAGCACATCATGTGCAGGAGGGCAGCTCCCCCAACAAATCAAGAAAATCAATAAAAATAATGAGGTTCTTCTCCCCCTGCCCTAAGCCTGGCTACACCCATGAAGCACATTGCTTCCCCTAAAGAATCCCAACAACTGTCATTTGATAAGGGTATGGGGGGTGAGAGAGAGACTCCAAAATATGCTTTGGGCCAGGACAAATCATACACCCAAGCAAAAATGGAGCATCCTTTTACAAGATGCCAGTCTATCATGGTTGGTCCTGATCATGCATTTATGATAATTTGGAAACATGATAATTTTTATTAACATTATTGTTGTGCTTGAAGGAAAGGGAGGCCCCTAATTATGAGGATGCATGATGTGGGGGTATCCCAACCTTTATTTTGTAGTTCAGGGACATACAAACTTTATTTTGACGTTCAGGGATAGGTGGGACTTTTTCTTTTTTAAAGTCTTTTTGAGCAAATAAGGAGCTGGCAACTAGTAACCCAACTCCAGCGAGGTGCTCAGAATTCTTTGAGGGAAAGGGCAGGCTTCGAAGGCGGAGTGTGCAGGCGGCCTTGGCTCTCGCTTTTCTGGGGGTCCAGAGACCACGATCCTCTTTGCCAAGCCTTCCGGTTCCCAATTCCAAGTCGTCTTAGTCGCCCCCGCAAGTATTTTAAGTACGAAATCATGTCAAACTCAAAAAGTAATCCAGAGGTTCTGTTTTGTGGCAATGGTTTGTTTTTAATTTTTAAATGTATGTGCAGACGATCACAGGGCAGTTTGTGGTATTATATGAAAATCACAAAAATACGTAACAGCAAACGAGATAATAATCCCACCACCAAGCAGAGGCTTTGGAGAAGAGGAAGGATATGCAAGGATTTGTCGAGATTTGAAATAACCGCTCCTGCTGAGCAGAGAAGGAGGGGGATCATAGCCCTGGTCGGAAGCCAACGCCGTCCGGGACTCTTGCGGGAATTATTTATATGGGGATCCAGACAGAGAGCTATTTTACTGAGCCCACGAGAGAGGGACGCCCTCCGCCGGGCGAGCTGGAAGTGCCTTCGAAGCAACAGCGACGCGCTGGCGAGGCTGCTGGACAGAAAGCGGGGCGGGGTCTCAGCGCAGCCCAGGTAGAAGTGGGAGGGCCTTCGGTCCCGCTCTCTTTTGCGATTGGCCCTCGCCGATTGCCTCCCCACACTGGCGAAACGCCTCCTTCGAGCTTGAGCCGGAAGTGGGCGCGGCGATCCCTTTCCCCACCCCTGCTCCGATTGGTGGCTTCGGCTGTCCATCCAGGGAGGCTCGCCTGGGGAACGGGAAGCTGTCAGCGCTTGTGCCGGGATCGCCGAGCGAGGAGGTTCCGCGCCGCCGCCGCCGCCGCCGGGGATGATGGGAGGCTCTCAAGATGGCGCCGGCGCGTCGGTGGCGGACTGAGCGCGCCGTCTCCCGCCTCCAGCCCGCTCTGGCGCTGTGAGCGGCCGGCCGCGACGGCTCTTGCGGGGCCGAGGGCGGGCGAGGGAGTTTGGCCGGCCGGCCGGCCAGCAGCCGGACTCGGAGTTGGCTCTTCCCTCCGCGCGCGCGCGGCTCTGTGAGGGCGAAGGGGGGGGGCATGGCCACCATGGAGAAGCTGATGAAGGCCTTCGAGTCCCTCCGCTCCTTCCAGCAGCAACAGGGCCCCGCTGCCTCGGCGGCGGCAGCAGCAACAGCAGCGCCAGGCACGGCACCACCCGCCGCCTCAGCCGCCGCCACGGTCGCCGCCGCCGCCCCCGGGGAGCCGCCTCACAGACCGTGAGTTGTGAAGGGAGGCTGGAGCGGGCGGGCGGGCGGGCGGGGGGCGAGCAAGCGGCCGCAGGGCCCGCGCTCGGGAGAGGCGGGGAGGTGGTCCGGTGGGAGCGGTGGACGCCGGAGCGCCGTTTGCTCTTGGACGTCATCCGTGTCCCCCGCAGGCTAGTGTAGCCTGGAAGGAGCAAAGCACGGCAGCTACATCGCCGAAACCAGCCTCTTAAAATCGAGGAAATGTAATCTTCGGGGCCTCAGGTCCAACGGGCATAGGTGTTTTCACTCATTGTTGTTATATTTACTCAATTTGTGTACCCCCTTTCATTTGAAGTTCACGGTTTGCAAGATAAAAATACAAGTTGAGAACACGAAATGCATAGTGAAAACAAGAACAAAACAAGCTCACGACCCCTCCCCATAAACACATTTCAAAGGACATTGTATGTTAATTAGTCAAAAGGCCTGGTAAGTTTTCACCAGTCGCCAGACAAACCTCCCTGCAGAGAGACACCACAGAAAAGGTCTGCTCTCATGTTGCCACCCTCTGGATCTCTTGTGGGCCTCAGATGGTGATCACAGGGTCCGAATTGGTTCACATGGAGAGAGACAGTCCTTGAGGCATTGCAATCCTGAGCCATTTAATGCTTTAGAGGTAAAACCAGCACATTGAATCAGGCTAAATAAGTTAAACAATTCAAGATGTAACACTGGACAAGTAACACCAACTGGCATAACTGAGAAACAGACTGACAGACAAACTGCAGACCAACAGACTACTGAGCTGACATGCATTAATCACAGTTATTGTCAGGGTACTGGGCTGTTACTGTAACAACTGGCTTGGCTGACCATGCACTTGCAATTAAAATATCTATGGGATGATTTACACTCATGAATGAGAATAACTCATTTTCTCATGTACATGCAGCTGTAACCTCTCTGCTAGTTTTCCTCAGCCAAAAAGGACAAGGGTCCAGAGCACAAGTCTGATCCAAGCACTTTGTCCACATCCTCGACCTCAAGCCTTACCAACTGAAACTCATACAACATAACAGGACAGGATAGGTCCATAACAGGTCATCTGCTGCAACAGCAGAATCAAGAACCTGGTGGATTTTATCCTCAAAATGCTTCGCAAACAATTCACAGTGAGCCAGTCAGTTCTTCCTCCTCCTTTGGGCTAGATTGTAAGAGGCCCTCTACTACCCAGAAAAGCTCTGCTGGGCGACAATGAGGATGCAGTGGAGGCAGCAAAGTATGCCTCCTTTGCTGCTTTCACTCCCACTAGGTAGAGTTGGTCATGAGCCCTCACCAGTGTTCAGTAGCTTTTGACTGGAGTTTTACTCCACTAGTGTTCAAGCCGTCTCCCAGCTTGTTTCCTTGCCCTAAGTTCTGGAGAATACACGGGAGCCAAGTGGGCTCCATGAAGTGGGAGAGGGTTCTCAGGGGTGATCGTGTCAATGGCACAAACCATCAGGATGTTCTGCAAGTTATCCAGGGCT